GGGGGGGGGAGGGCGGCACAAAGATTTATCAAGACGGCAGCGCAGCTTCTTGTAGTTAGAGCGACGGCCACAGCAAAATTAGGATGTAATCACACATATAGCATTGATAAATTAATACAATGCATATATGGCAGTGGTGGCAAATTTAAATTACTTAGAAAATAAATATATTTTTATTCCTTTGGCATATTTATTTAGGATTTAGGTATATTGATCCTTGAGGTAGTAAGAATTAATATAATTTATTAAAGTGGTTAAACAAAACATTAAAGTCTTATCAAAATCCTACTTCATATAAAGTAAGAGCTGTAAACTCGTTTCATATAAGATACCTTATCTCTTTCCACTTAAGCTAGCTAGAAAAGAGGTAATTATTTGATAGAAGAGTTTTTAGTGGCTATTTTATTCCTATTTATCCCCTAAAGTCCTTATCCATAATCACATAAATTACATTCACCCCCCCTTTAGAAATGTTAATGTTTTCATTGACTATTGACTAATAACCCCTACTGAGACAAGGGGAACTAACACTTTTATTTTCACATTGAATTTACTAATTCTTCCATTATATAAATTAATTATTCCATGTGAGACAAATAATTATCCACTTGTACTATAGTCCCATGGTGAATACTTTCATCCATAGATGTTCTATAAGAGGAAGGACATACATATAAATGCCTAATACATATAATTTCAAATTTAGGGGTAAGAATATACTTTACTCAAGGGTATCTTACATTTTAAGTAGTTGCTAATTAATGGGAATTGAACTTGTGCCATTTGCTCCAATATCATATATAACACACTTTATCTCTCTCCCTTTAAGCCAACTGAAAAATGGGTAATTACTTGATGAAAAAGATTTTAGTGGCTATTTTACCTTATTTATCCCTTAACGTTCTAAGGATCTACGGTGATAGTATATTTAAATTTCATCCCATGATCAACACTTTAGGTTTTAAAAGATCAAATGTTTTATTTTGTAATGGAATTTTAATTTATTTATATTATCTTTGCATATTTATACATATAATAATATTCCTAGAGAGAGTGTGTAGATATCGGCTCTTGCTATAAATAATAATAAATGGTAATTAAAATATAATAGAGTTGTAAAGTCCAAGTGTATAACTATGATGGCATATACTAATATTAAAATAGTGGAATTTTAATAGTAGTTGGATTAGTTTTAATATGGACCACTCGCTCATGTATATAAGCTAGGTTTTTGGGGTTAATTAGTATGTACATTTTTATATTCCATTTCTATTTTCTATACACTCACATTAGTGGAGTTGGGGGGCAACGTTGATTGTCCCCAATGAGTGTTTGGATTTGGATGTAAATCCCACTTTCTTTATAACTTTTTCAATTTTTTCTCTTGTTTTATTTCTTTTTCATTTATCTTTATGGCAGAGTGGCAGTTTCCTCCTCCTTTGACTCTAAAGAAGCAATTGATGCAATTACTTAATGTTATATAGTTGTAATTGAATAATCAAACTTAATTGATAGCAACATTCACTACACATAGTATATCTCCTACCCTTATTATTATTCCTTATGTCCAACCAAAGTTTTTTCATAGGAATTTTAAGGATGATATATACTATTGATTTGATCACTTTACAATGACTGTCATCTATCATTCTTGGAATGATGCTTAGCATTTGTGTGAATTTCCCACGTCTTCAAAAGATAGCATTATAGTGGTATAATGGTTTGAGCTCAATCACTCATGCAGATTGAAGCAATCTCTTAAATGTCTTCAAGTGCATATTTAGACATATTGATGATTGTGATGATGCCTTTCAACATTGTATTATCTTTGTCAAGGGCCATCTAAGTTAGTGATGAAATTTTGTATTCATTTTTAGAGCCTTTTGCTTTGGAGCAGATCAAGTTGGGAAAGTTGTAGCTAACACTTCATCAAAATCTTGTAAGACTTGGTATGCATTTGCTCTAACCATCTTTAATGATGCTTTTCAATTGGCACAATGTTATAAGATATCACCTTTTCCACTTCTCATTGCACATCTTTCAGCTCCACTTCCTATAAGATGCCATACCCTGCCGAGAGCAACTCTTTATCGAAGGAACCATTAGTGAATACATTCCAAGGAGAAGATGCTTTTATTTCATCAAGTCCTCGCTCACGAGTACAAATGGTAATGGCCCATTTCTGCCATGGCTTTCCTAATCTGACTCCTACACCACCATACACCTTCTTGTTCGCGATGCACACTTCATCCTCGCCAGCTTTGCGCTTGAGAGACATCATTTTGTGTACCCTAAGTTTTGAGGCCCCAATTTCCAAATGTATAGGTGGCTTTGGTCGTACGAAAACGTTTCGTACTAGGTAGATGCGAACTCGCCACCCTGGAGAAACAGATGAAGAAAAGCAAAAAAACCCCTGCACTTGTCCAGCCAAAGATGGATTGATCAATTAGCAAACTATGACAGCAACAACAATGAAAAAGTGAAAAGAGGCATTTTCTTCACAAGATGAAAGCCTTCCACTGTAGTGTCCCTTTTCGCGGCCGCTCGGGAACAGCCTGAGACCATCGTGTGAGATTGGGTAGGGGACCCGTGAAAGCCATCTTGTTATTCACTTGATCAAGCTTCCGCCAGTTCACCTGCGGTTCCTTCAACTCGTAAGCGCTTTGAGTATTAGGAAAAAGGGAGAAAAAAAATGTCTTACCTCGCCTGGAAATGCCTTTGACATCGCATAAAGAACATGGTTCTCGCCCGTAATTGTGGACTCTAGAGTTTCATCGTCGTCATGTTCACGTCTTTGCTCTTCCACGCAGTTGATCATGATCCGGCCCCCGGGTCTCAGTCTTTTCCTGAGCTTTAACCATGTCTGTGCCTTGAAGTAACAATCAGGAAAAGATATCAGTGATCTGGTGCTCCGCAAAGACTAAAACTCTTTCCTCACCTCCTTGAGAACTGGCAGAACATCGCCATTTGAGAATAAATCCACGACAATGCCTGTAGAAAAGTGAGGTTGAAAGATAAAAAAGAGAGGTTGCAGCGAGCTACCTGCGAATCCACCCTCGGGATCATTTGCATCCGAGAGAGCATCGTCGACGTGAATTGTAAGCCCTCCACCGTGTTTGTTTTTGCCTTCTAACTCTGACAAGCCGAGATAATCCCTTGCCTTGTCAATTAGCTGCAAGCTTCAACGACGTAAGAGTTTGCATTGACGGTGTCAAAGAGTTACTCACGATCTCATCAATTTCCCAGCCTATCAATTCTCGCTCCGGCCACAAGTGGAGCAGCAATCGTGCAGCAGTACCACCGCCCTGATGATCAAACAGAGTAAAAACCAGGAAAGCTAGGAAGAAATCGAAAAGCTCTTACCAGTCCTAGAATTGCAATGGGACCTCTGGGAATGATCGGTGGAAGCGAGGAGAACTCGTCCTTCAATCACACAAAGAGTATGAACTTGCTTTTCACTCCTCAAGAAAGGAAGCTATTTACCCAGTATGAACCGACCCACACAGAATCCTCCTTGTAAATACTATGAACATTTCCTACATTGGCACGTAAAGCTCTCTCAATCACCACAAAAAGAACCAAATGATCTATAGATGAGAGAGATTGCTCACCTGTTTGATCCAGCAGCAGCAATCTAGCTCCCGCGAATTCACTGGGCGAATCCCTGGGCACCTCGAGAATCGCAATGGCGTTGTAGAAGCTCATCATCGAGGTCACGACGGTGGGAGCGGCCGCGGTGGCCTCCAAATCCTCCTCCGTCCATTGCTCCACCGAGAAATCTCTCTTCCTCTTGGACGAGGACGCGGCATTGGCAGCAAGACGGTGGCATCTGGGCGCTGCGACTGGAATCGCCGGCAAGCATCGCAATACAAGTGGATTAGACCTAACGAGAAGAAGATCGAGCACGGGCAAGTGAAGCTCGGCCATATGCTATTACATAATTCTAACCAATAGATAAGCATTACATCAATCGCTCAATGTTTAAGGCCTATTAGCTCAGTTGGTCAGAGCGTGGTGCTAATAACGCCAAGGTCGCAGGTTCGAAACTTGCATAGGCCATATCGTCCTCTCTATTTAACGAAAAGCCTTCTTTTGCTTCGAGATGTTGGCCGGGCTGCGCGTTTGCCTCGCTTTCATGTTTCCTGAGAGTTTCGAGTGTGAGGAGCTACCTGACGAGTGCGTCTGCCGGATCTTGGCATGGCTCCCCATTCCAGACCTTGTCCGCTCCAAGCTTGTATGCAAGCGCTGGAAGTCACTCATTGAGGATGTCACTCCCTGGAGAAGCTTGCCGCGGTTGCATGAGTCGTGGTTTGAGCAGTTTCCCCTCTTTCCTCGAGACCTCGTTCACCGGGAGCTTGGGGAGGCAACACCACTTCCCGGTGATCGGATTCCCAACCATGTAATAGGGAAGGTGGTGTCTCTGGAGATTCACAAAATAGCCACACACCAGGCCGCAGGACGAGTCGGCAAATATCCTAAACTTGCAGCGTCCTTCACCCCAAGGACCTCTATTCTTCAAGCGCAAGGGCAACTTAAGATGGCGAGCCCTGTGGGGAGAATTACTAGTTGCCAAGATACGACAGGTAACGGAACTAGATCCATGCACAGGGTACTTCAAGGTCCTGGTGTTTCTCCTTGGAGATTTTGATCACTACTGGCTATTCAATTCGCTCAGTAGGGAGTGGCGGCGCTGTCAGTTTACAAGCAAGAAGAGCATTGATGATCTCGCTGCGGATGACAAGGGACCATGGCTGGGATCTAGTATGTTTGCATCACCTAACAGGCAGTCGCTAAAGATCACCGGTAGTCGGGTTGATCTTCTTTACGTGGCTGTGTTTGATCAGGTTTCAGGTTGCTATGACAGGGTCAAGGTGAAGTTTCCAAGCAATCTTTTCTCTTGTGGCCTGCCTTGTATTGTAGATTACAATGGGAGGTGGATTCTTGTTTCGTCAACTATAAGTGGTGGTTATAAGGTGTCTGCTGCTGCATGGGAACTCGACAGGGAGACAACAGATTGGAAACTTTTGAGTGAGGTTTACGTGGGTGACTTGGTGAAGAATGGCGCTCTTGAGTTTGAGTATTTTGTTGTCAAGCATTCCGTTGTTGTGCGACCAAGTAGGTTATCAGTCTCTCCACCGATGGCCTTCTTCTTCAAGAATAATTCATGGAGTATCTGCAGCAAGTATAACTATAAGACAGCATTCACGCTCACACCAGATTTATTTTCAAAGCCTAGAATTTTTTATCAGCCTCGTAGAAACATAGAACCATAGAAACATGGGTTTCTAAGGCTTCAGCCAAGCTTGCTGTTAATAAAGAAATGCGATGGCAGGCGGATCCACCGTCTCATCGGGCTGATACAATCACTTTGTCTCCAATCTTCTTTACAGATGTACGAGACATCAACGACCTTCGGGTAAGAATCCAGCAGCTTAATTGCCAGCATGGTGTCAAGTTCCGTGTCGAAAAACCTCACTGATCGTGTAAGCTGTGCGAATCCTCGAGCGACTTCAGTTTCTCCTTCTCGGCAAGGTTTTGCTACGAGGAGAGTGACGTGACCGCCGAAGAGCCTCAGCCTTGGATCATTTGCGAATAAAGCTCGAGTGCCTTCTCGGCTTCACCACTGTCAGTGTATCCCAGCACCATTAGTTCCGGTCACTTCTCAAACCTGCCTTTGCCATCTCTTTTGCTGCCGAGACTCAATAACAACAACCAAAGTCGCTGCGCTCGGAATTGATGGAGCCGATTCTTCGTCTCCATTCTGTGCATGATAGCCATCCTACTATGGTGCAAGGACTTTGCACCGAATCCGCCAATCTCCCATAAAAGTCCACCAGCCTGGAAAGCAAAAGTTTGTAAGATCTTAAGGTGGCTTACATCCTCTGCTTGTTCCAGAGCTCACGTTGACGATCCGAGCTCTGTGAGATGGCAAACTCTGTTAACTTTTGAACTGAGAGGTAGTTCGTGTCAATGACGACTTTGGAGTTCTCCAAGTTTGTAAGAACCCCCGAGATTTCCACCTATACAGTGGATCAAACTAAGCAGTGAGCTCATGAGCTTGTTGAGGATCAGGATCTTAATCTTGCCAGATGGCCTGCATTGATCGGTCTGTCTGGAAGTATAGACAGGCAAGTCATTTTCTCCAGGAAGTTGATCATGGTGCGAGATTGTAGATAGCTTTCACAAAGAACGTGTGGAGCTCTGGCAAAACTTCCGCTTTCGAGAACAAATCCACGACAACACCTGGACAAGAATCACAGCTTCTGAGAAAAGATGATAAAAGAATTTTCATCTCCAAATCCTTCCTCCGGATCGTTAATGGCATCCGAAAAAGCGTTGAGCTGAATTGCAAGAGACTCACGAGTTCATGTCATCGATCTCCAATGCTCGCTCGGGCATGCTCAGTGATCGAGCAGCTCACTCTTGAAACAAAGAAGGTTTTGTAAGAAGAACACGAAAAGTTCTTACCAATCCGAGAATTGTCTTCTGGAATTATTGGTGGAAGCGAGGAGAACTCATCCTAAAGAACAAACATGAGCTTTAGAACAAACAAAGAGAAGAAAAATTTTAGTCTGGTTTTAGGGCTCTTGTTCTTTGCGTCTCCCGGCCGGGCCTCCGATCCGCTCACCACGCCCCACGGATCGTGTAGCACCAGCAGCATTTGCATCCTCATCTTCCAGACGTGGAATCTGGCGCCCCCGAAGGATTTCTCGCGGAAATGCGGCCTCGGGAGCTTCGATCGGGGAGGATTTCGAGTTGTCAGCGACGGATTGGGGCGTGTCGAGGCTGGATCGCTCCGCCGGATCATCGCCACAAAATCTCCAGCGGTGCCTGGCACAAACACGAGAGATTTCGCAAGAAATACACGGCGTCGCGTGATTTCACCTCGGCGGCTCGGATTCCACATCGAATCGAAGAGAGGAAGGAAGATCGCCTGGAGTTTGAGAAGAAGGACGCGAGAGCACGAGCGAATATTTTGCTCCATCTCGAGGACAGGCAGCTAATGCAGGTGTGGCACACGACGTCAGCGAAGCAGGCATGGGATCTCCTGGGCGAGATGTTGGGATTTAGGGTTCTAGCGGCCGGATAGATAGAAAGAATGCTAGTGGCGCGTCCACAGCTAGCGCTTTGGCGCAGTGGTAGAGGCTGGAATTCTTCGTCGGTTCCAGCGAGAATTCTGGCCAGGGGAACTCACGCATTGGGCGAGTACCATGGCACTATCCCGGAGGAGACCGTGAGCACTAGAATCGACGTGTGGCTCTCGGGTCAGCTCCCGCATACCAGTCGAGCTCGCGTCCAAGACAGCATTCGTAAGGGGCTTGCTCTTGTCAATGGGAAAACCATCACCAAGGTGCGCTTGGCTTTCTTCTAGCTCATTTGCACTTCACTTTCATGCTTTTTCTTCCATAGATGTTTTTTTCTTTGAGCTAAGCTTTGGATTTCTGGCAGCCTTCGTTTCCTGTCATTGGTGGTGACGAAGTTGTCTGTACGCTCTGCGGTGCTGCTCCTTTGGAAGCTACCCCTGAGAGAATTCAGCTAGACATTGTTCATGAAGATGATCATGTGATTGTTGTCAACAAGGCTGCCGATATGGTATGTAGTCGAGAGACTTTCGCTTTGGACCTGGCTAAAAACAAGTTTTCACAGGTTGTGCATCCGGCTCCAGGACATTACGGTGGGACTTTGGTGAATGCTATCCTCCATCACTGCGGGCTTCCTGCTGTCGAGGTTTCTCTTCCAGTGATGATGGACGAGGAATCCGATGACGATGAAGGAGAGGAGCTGAGTGAAAATGGAGACCAAGACTATGAGAAAGATGAAGTTGAGGTACACAAAGCTAGAGGCGAGACTCCTTCAAGATTTCGGGGTCCGAGACCGGTGATAAGGCCTGGGATTGTGCATAGACTGGACAAAGGTACCAGTGGACTCATCGTCGTTGCAAAAGTAAGGTAAGACACGTCTTGTGTTACCAGGTTCTGAGTATGCCTTGTTATTGTTATTTTCAGGATGAACAGTCCCAGCTGAGTTTGAGCGAGCAATTTAAATCTCGGAAAGTCCGAAGAACCTATCTGAGTCTTACGTGTGGTACACCTTCAACGACGAGCGGCCGCATTGAGGCTGAAATCCTTCGTGATCCGCGAGATAGGAAACGCATGACGACGTCAGATACTGTTCCATCCGCCCGAAATGCGCGTTTTGCTGCAAGCAGGTATGTCGCAACGAGTTTCTTTTGTATCACCATTTCATTTTGATTTCAGGTACAAAGTTCTAGACGTTCTCGCAAATGGTGGTGTGGCTCTTGTTCAGTGGAAGCTGGAGACAGGGAGAACTCATCAAGTTCGTATTCTTTAATTTCAGGAGCTCTGATACTAAACTGAACCTTCCAGATAAGAGTTCATGCACGTTACATGGGTTTCCCGCTGCTTGGGGATGATGTGTATGGAGGAACAGTGGGAAAAGCGAATTCGACTCTATTATCCGCTCTATGCGCGACTAAAACGAACAGCCGAAAGAAGATTCACGAGTTCACATCGGACATTCGTCGCCCTTGTCTGCATGCCTATAGCCTCGGGTGAGGTTTCGTATAAGAAATTTGCGTGAGCTAATAAACGTTTTCAGGTTCGAGCACCCTGCCACAGAAAAGTACGTCCACTTCACATGTCCTCCTCCAGAAGACTTCGAGGAGGCATGGACAAGGCTCCGAGACATGAAACCGGAAGCATAACTTTCAGCGTTGGTGGCTTTGGACACCACCGAAGCCTCTCTGGACCATATCATCTAGGAGCTCGCGAGCGTCCTCATCGCGATTGGCCTTACGAAACGCATCAATGAGAAGGTTATAAGTCCCGATGTTTGGAACACAGCCCTTCTCTATATACCCGCGAGCTCGATCAAGCATACCAGCATTGCAAAGGCCAGTAATCAATGTGGAATACGTTATAGAGTTTGGCAAGCACCCAGGCTCCTCCAGCATCTTTCTATACACTCGACAGGCCTCGTCGACTTTCTTCTCTCTGCAAAGGCCATCGATAACAGTGGTATACATCACCACGTCCGGGTTACAACGTCTTCTTCGGGCTTCTTCGACGAGCTCCATGGCTTCACTGGACCGGTTAACTTTACACAGTCCCCGGATCATGATATTGAACGAGACAACGTTGGGAGGACAGTCCATCTCCTCCAGCATGAACTTTCGGGCCTCCTCCAACTGGTTTGCTCTGCAGTAGCCATCGAGGATGGTGTTATACGTATAGACTGTGGGTGAGCAGCTCTTCCTCCTCATTTCCCCTAGGATATGCACAGCGTCACTCAGCCGGTTCTCTCGACAGAGCCCGTCCATCAAGCTCGTGAAAGTCACCACGTCCGGGGTGAGCCCCTTGCGGGTCATCTGGTTGAGAAGATCGTACGCATCGTCTAGCCTCGCCAGCTTGCAGAAGCCGTTCATGAGAGTGGTGTAAGTCACCACGTCCGGAGAGCTTCCAGTCTCGGCCATCCTCTCCAGCAGGTTCATCGCCTCGTCCATCTTTCCCATCCGACAGAAGCCGCTGATGAGGGAGTTGTAAGTCACCGTGTTCGGCATACAGCTGCCGCTCTTGATCATCCGACCGAAGAGATCGATCGCCTCCTTGAGCCGGCCTTCCTTACAAAGTCCATCGATCAAGCACGAGTACGTGACAACGTCGGGACGGAAGCCTCTGGCAACCAGCTGCTCGAATACTCGGAGAGCATCATCCGACTTCTTTGACTTGCAGAAGCCGGTGATGAGCGTGGTATACGTGAAGATATCCGGGATGCAGCCGCTGTACACCATCTCCTCGAGGAGGTCGTAGGCCTCGCTCGCCCGCTCGGCCTTGCAGAGACCGCTTATCAGGCTGTTGTAAGTCACAGCCGTGGGGACGCACTTCTTCCGCATCTTGGACAGCAGCGCCACAGCCTCGTCGACCCGGCCACCTTTGCAGAGCCCGTCGATGAGAACCGTGTACGTGACAACGTTTGGAGTGAGGTTCCGGTTGGCCATCTCTTCCAGAAACTTTCGAGCTTCGTGGAGCCGGTTCTCGACGCACAGGGCATGGATGACGGCAGTGTAGGTGTAAACGTCCGGGTGGAAGCCTTTGGAGACCATTTTCCCCAGGAAGATCAAGGCCTGCTCCAGCCGCTTCACCTTGCAGAGTCCCTGGATCAGGCTGGTGTAGGTGACGAAATCCGCCGAGCAAGAGTTCGTCGCCACCATCTTCTCGTACACGGCCACGGCAGCATCCAGCTTCTTCCCTTTGCAGTACGAGGACACCACCAGATTGTGGAGCGGGAGTTCCCGGAACTTCTTCCTCGACTCGGTGACAAGCACCTCGGCGTCCTCGATCATCTTGGCCTTGCAAAGCGGACGAACGAGGAGATAGTAGCTCGTCACGTCCTCGGCAGCCATCTCTACCATCTTCCGGAACAGCAGCTTGGCATCGTCGAACCGGGCCTCCTTGCAGAGAGCGGTGATCTTGGTATTGCACTCCGCGGTGTTGGGAGCCACACCTTTGCTCTTGAGATCGACGAGCACCTCGCAGGCCGTCGCGACGTCGCCAAAGCCGTGCAAGATGATCGCGAAAGTTGACGCGTTTGGGAGCTGCCAGGAGTCGACCATCTCGGACAGGAGCTCTCGGGCGCGATCGTAGAGGCAAGCCCGGAGGAGAACACGCAGGAAGCAGTTGTAGCTGTAGATGGAGTGGCGGTAGCCGGGCCTATGCTGCGCATACGTGAAGAAGAACACGGCATCCTCGACGAACTTGAGAGCCTGGATGACTTTGCCGACGATCTCCGGTGTGAGATCCCCGCTCCACGCGTCTAGAGCTCCGGCCTTGGAGGGATTGGGAGCCGTGGAGCGGAGGATGTGGAGGAGGCTCTCTACTTGGAGCAAGAGGTCGGGGAACTCGTCCGCGCCGGCCATTCGCGAGAGTCGATTTGGAGGCCTGAGCTTGTGCTTGCTCGAGTCGGGAGATGGAGATTGACATGGAAATTCTTCGTGCGATGATGGCGATGGTGTTGCCGAGGCGACAAGAACTGCAGTGGAAGAATGGAATGTTCTTGCTCGAGGAGGGCGATGCCGATAAGATGAGACGAGATGAGGACGCGAAGATAAAGATGGATGGAGGAGGGCAGTGATAGCAGCCATGGCACTAGAATGAGTGGAGAACAGTAGAGGTTACCTATGTCTGCCCGCCATGGCTGGAGCTACATTGTCCAAGCCCTAAGCATTCCAAAATATTTGGCCCATGCAGGTTTCGAACCTGCGACCTTGGCGTTATTAGCACCACGCTCTGACCAGCTGAGCTAATAGGCCTTACAGATTGACTAATATCTCTTAAAAATAATAACATCGGCCGTTGGCCTTACGTTGACTTTTACCAACTTCAAAGAATTTTAGATTTCAGATCAAGTCAACCAGAGGTTGAGCTTTTAATTTTGTAGCTTACATCTTCTCCAGATGAAGCGCTAGGACTAGGAGTGCTCTCCAAATCCAAATCGATCGCCTCGGACTCGGAGCAGGAAGAGCCCGTTGGCTCGTCGTCGTCGGACATGGTTGCACCCTTCTCGGCCATATCTTCGCCATCTGTCTCGTCCGATGAACCTTCTTCGTCTGAAGAAGACCAAGAGCTTGGTGTCCTGCTCCACGGCGGGCTGGTGCACACAACCTCCTCCTGGCCATCCACAATCCCCAGCTTCTGCATTTTGCGACACAGCCTCTCCAAACGAATTTGCACAGACTTCGCGCCACCACGGCACGGAACGTCCATCTCCTCCTCGAACACCACCTGAGGATCACAGGACTTGTGCGTCCAGTGCCTCCTCGCAAGCGCAGCCACCTCCGCCGCTCCCCCTTGAATCAGCTGCTGCTTGAAGAAGCCAAACAGCTCCTCGTCTTCCTCCTCGTCCTCCACCTTGCAGAAGTAAGCCGGGAGAAAGAAAGAAGTGGCCAAGCTCTGCACGGTCCCCGTCTTGGCCCCGTCCCAGTCCAGAATGCACTTGACATGTCCCGATGCCGGATCCACCAGGACTTGGGTGGGTCCAAAGTCGGGGTGGTGAAGAAAAAAGCCGCTCCCCTCGCGAGATTCTTGGAACTCGTCCAGCCACCTGAGCAAAATAGCCGCGTTTGCCCGTATCGATTCGCCATACCTGCGGCTGTTTCCGTGCAGCACCATCAGCCCTCCAATGTGGTTCCTGGCGTACTCCTTCCACGACGAGTAAGGCCCGGGGCTGAGAGCCCCCACGTCCAGCCCGCGCTCCATCGCCTGGGACACCGGACTCTGCGGTTCCGGTCCCACGTGGCACGCCCCGGCACAGTCGACCGCCATGCCCCCCATCGAATCCAGCGGGCGGTGGTAGAGCCGGATGGTGATGCCTGCCAAGTCAGCGAGCACGGTCTTCTTCCACTCCACGCTGGCGCCCTTCCTCCACAGGTCCCACGCCGGCACGCCCTCTGCCACCGGCATAACAGTGAGGTGGGATTTGCCGCGTGGCGTGTAGGGCAGCGGTGGCGATGCCACGTGGACGGGCCCTGCCACGACCGTCTGTATGCCCAGCCCCGACAGGAAGAGCGTCGCGGCGTAGCCCGAATCCGCCAGTGCGCTTGTGATGCGGTTCTTCTGACCTGCGAGTGGGAGTCGAATGGCGACGCGCTGATCATCTTTGTGCGCGTCGAGCACAAGATTCCAACCCCCTATCCCTAGAATGCCGGTAAATTGAACCGCACAACCCAAAATTCTAGAAACCATCCTCTCAAGTTGAGAGGGCATGCAAAGGAAACTCTCAAATATCACGTCCCTCAGCTCCGCCATCCCTCCAAACCCTAAATGCTATTTGCCCTGTTTCATTAAAGCTGTCTCTAAAGGATCGAACCTGACGTCAGCGCTTTACAGTCGCATAAAACCTTTTACAATTAAAGGTTATCCTACTGCTCTTTGGGCTGAATCTGATCGGGAGAATCACTTTGGTTTGTACAACAATCAGCTAACAAAAAAAAAAAACACCTGATGTGCAAGCAGGTACTCTCTAAGCAGAAACAAATAGATTGCCACCTGATGTGAAAGGAGGTACTCTTTAAGCAGAAACAACTATCAGTTAGCAAATAGCTAACAAAAAACAAAACACAAACTTTGCCAGAAACAACTATCCATATGCTATATCCAACCAATTACATTAATGTTTAAGGCCTAGTCAGACATAAGCCATACCTGTTTCTATTTAACGAGGAAAGGGAAAAGCCTTTTTTTTTGCTTCGAGATGTTGGCTGGGCTGCGCGTTTGCCTCGCCTTTTTGTTTCCTGAGAGTTTCGAGTGTGACGAGCTACCTGACGAGTGCGTATGCCGGATCTTGGCGTGGCTCCCCATTCCAGACCTTGTCCGCTGCAAGGTTGTATGCAAGCGCTGGAAGTCACTCATCGAGGATGCCACTCGCTGGAGAAGCTTGCCGCGGTTGCATGAGTCGTGGTTTGTAGACAATAGTTCCATTCCCTGTCGTATCTTGGCCACTAGTAATTCTCCCCACAGGGCTCGCCATCTTAAGCTGCCCTTGCACTTGAAGAATAGAGGTCCTTGGGGTGAAGGACGTTGCAGGTTTAGGATATTTGCCGACTCGTCCTGCGGCCTGGTGTGTGGCTATTTTGTGAATCTCCAGAGACACCACCTTCCTTATTACATGGTTGGGAATCCGATCACCGGGAACTGGTGTTGCCTCCCCGAGCTCCCAGTGAACGAAGTCACAAGGAAAGAGGGGAAGCTGCTTGTGGATCCATGCACAGGGTACTTCAAGGTCCTGGTGTTTCTCCCTGCAGAATTTGATCACTACTGGCTATTCAATTCGCTCAGTAGGGAGTGGCGGCACTGCCAGTTTACAAGCAAGAAGAGCATTGATGACCTCGCTGCGGATGACAAGGGACCATGGCTCGGATCCAGTATGTTTGCATTACCTAACAGGCACTCGCTAAAGATCACTGGTGGTCGGGTTGATCTTCTTTACGTGGCTGTGTTTGATCAGGTTTCAGGTTGCTATGACAGGGTCAAGGTGAAGTTTCCAAGCAATCTTTTCTGTTGTGGGCTGCCTTGTATTGTAGATTACAATGGGAGGTGGATTCTTGTTTCGTCAACTATAAGTGGTTGTTATAAGGTGTCTGCTGCTGCATGGGAACTCAACAGGGAGACATCAGATTGGAAACTTTTGAGTGAGGTTTACATGGGTGACTTGGTGAAGAATGGCTCCCTTGAGTTTGAGTATTTTGTTGTCAAGCATTCCGTTGTTATGCGACCAAGCATGTTATCACTCTCACCACCGATGGCCTTCTTCTTCAAGAATAATTTATGGACTAACTGCAGCAAGTATAACTATAAAACGGCCTTCATGCTCACGCCAGATTTATTTTTCAAAGCATGCTCTATATAATAATTTTTTATCGGCCTCCATTTCTCCGTGCATCTCTTCTTTGATGCCTCGCAGGCCTGGATGGCAAGAAGAGAGGAAAAAAACAAAATAAAACATCCCAGAAGGGCCGTTTGAATTGGCGAACTCTTCGGCCACTCGAAGAAGGATAGTGGATTATTCTTATAGAGAGAGCACGCTTTATGGTAGTAGGCACCTAAAAATTATTAGCAAAAATAAGTAGAAAACAAACGTAGAAAGAAGCATATGCCATAGTGCATTCACTATTGCAATGTAGAACATCGCATACATAAGCGTTTGCATACTAGCAATCTGAAACTGATAAAACACAGCAAGAGTCCTGAGTAATAAAGTAAAAAATAAATCAATTTGTACCTCTCCTGACTGTGAAAAGAACTCCTAGAAGACCTTTGACAGCTAAGTGATCGCATGCACTGACAGCCCCACTCACCACACTCAACACCTAATGTGAAACAAATTAGACATAAATTTGAACATCACACCACAATTAGCTTTGCTGTTGAACATCCCCGAAACAACAGCCCAGCTTTCTTCGTTATCATGTGTGTCCCCGCTTTCTCCCTTTGTGTGAACAACTCGAATGTTGTTTGGGCCAAGGTGCATTGTCACCTTGACCCGCTCTCTCATCGTATTCCCCTCGCCTTGAGCACGCACAGCCTCCATGTTCACCTCCATCACCTTCTCATGCCCCCCGGCCAGATAGCTAGGGCTGCCTTACCTCTAACTGGTCCTAGCGCTGTTAGATGTGCCCACCACCATGTGGCACTCTATCGCCTCAAACCGGTACCAGTCCTGCATGGCATGCCTTGGTGCCATCAGATGTGGCCACTGCCATGAATCAAGTTGAAGTAAACAGTAATCTAAATATGGCACTTTGAAGAGGGAAAAATTGAAATTGGTTGTTCATATGTATATTTCTATATTCTATTCAATCAAACTTGTTTTTCTTGTTGTCAGAAATTGTGTTTCTAATGACATCAATAGTTTCAATCCTATTGTAAAATATGTCTTTCAAATATCTATTGAATAGTTGATTATTAATTTACATGCTTACTCCAAGAATTGTAAACTTGGAATCCATAGTTGATGCACTTTAACAATATAATAAAATAAATTAAAACTACAATTATTTGAAAAACTTATTTTTTAAAATTCATTTTGAAAGTGTTCCATTATTTTGTAATTCCCCACAGTAAAAAATGCAAGATCGTCTTCTTTATTAATGTAAGCAACTAAAAGGGAACACTTGAGAAACAAGTAAAATTCAAATATAAAAAGTAAGGCCCACGAATAGAGGGAAGGGGCCATGAGTTATGTTTTGATACATATCCAAATGTACTAAAAACAGTTATTAGGAATTGAAGAATACTTTTCATGGTGACATAGATTCTCCACTCAGTTTTGACTATGCTATCATAGCAAACAATAGTCTTTAGGACTTAGAATTAATATGTTAATTGATAATAATAACAAAATTAGGATACAAATTAGAGTGGTCAACAAACACCATCCACGTGTCAAATATTCAGTATGGGCACCTTGCCAGTTAGCCATTTGCGTATTTTGAAGACTCAAAAACAACCCCACAACAAACTTGCAAACTTGTTTGCACAGTTTCATGTTTCTTTTATTATTGGGACTGCCAAAACAAAATATAAATAGATAAATGCACCAATTTTCAACATGTCACTTTTTTAACATGTATATATATATCCTTCCTCACGGGGAGAAATCCAGCGTGGACACGTTGCTGACAACTCAAAATCCTCCCAGATTGAAGTTCCTAGATTTCTCCCGATGCAAAACGAGCAAGGGTGGAGCGATTCAGCAGTGCCAGATTTTAGGTCTGGAAGATGAGGATGCAATGGGCTATACTATCAATGGCGGATCAAAGGAGAATCTACTTGGAGTTTGAGAAGAAAGACGCAAGAGCATGAGCAAATATATTGCTCCCGGGATGGAAGCATCCAACTGACAGAAAAAGACAGGGCTCAGGGGTCCTCTCTTCCTCGCCTTGGTGTTCCTCCCTATCCACCTCTGTATGGTTACTGAGTTGTCTCCTGAGTTTGCTTCGCCCACCTTTAAAACACTCTTTGTGAAAGCTATCTACAATCTCACAGTTTGAGTTCTTCCAGGCAGGGTTGAAACTTTTGGTCTCGAGAGCTTTTCACCTCGGCCGTAGGGTCCGGGACAAAGCCAGGAAACAAAAAAATTAAAATAAAATTATGAACTCATTAACTTTATTTGTTGACTTGGGCAGGCCTTGCTTGGTCCCTATCTACATGACAAGCTTTTGGTCATGCTGGAACTGTAAAATTACATCAAATTTAAATCTTTTGTGTCTATAATAATAATACGGTAGTCAAGGACAAGTTCGATTGACAAGCTTGAATGTTTCTGCTAGGTATTAAAGCACAGACCATGCATTCCCTTCACAGAACTTGGAAACTGCCATCGAATTTCTTATCCTAGAAATGGTCTGTTTTGTTCTTTTCACAGGGTGGATCACTGTAGACTCTTGCAATCAAGTTGCAACGAGGCGGTTGGAATGCTCAAATTCGAGCAACTGGCTTTTCAATTCGCTCAGTATGGAGTGGCAGCGCTGCGAGTTTACAAGCGAGAAGAGCATTGATGATCCCGCTGCAGATGTGGGTCGGATCTAGTATGTTTGCATCGACTGAGAGGCGATGATCAGGTTGCCAGCAGCGTTTGACAGATGGTCAGCCTAAAACGATTGTAGCAGGAATCAGGAAACGTCACTTGAAATTTTTTCTGAAGTGTTTGAATCCCAACAGCAGTTCTGGAGTTGGACAACAACCTGAGATTCCAGATTGACCTCAGATCCAAGCAATTGGCCGAGGTCGGGGAATCATCCTGCTCAAGTAGATCATCTAACAAGCAGCTTCCCCTCTTTCCTTGTGACCTCGTCCACCGGGAAGTCGGGGAGGACAAGATAGCCACACACCAGGCCTGTAACCACCTTCAGGTCTAGTCTTATGCGCCATGCCGGCCTGATTCGATTCGAGGTAGGGTTTTGCTGCCTCAGCGCTGGAGCGCATCACACTCCCCGATTCAGGCTTCGCATACAACCTTGTAGCGAACAAGGTTTGGGATCCAAAGATCTGGCAAACGCACTCGTCCGGTAATTCCAGCTCTCAGGAAACAAGAGGCCGTGCTGCTGCCTTTGACTCCGTTAAATCTGTCCGCACGAAATGACACCATTTGGGCAGAGACATGGGGGATAATTGGGGAGCTTTAAAAGATTGGAAAGAGCGCAGCACAATTCTCGTTTCCAAGACTTTGATTTCCTGTCTGTCAGGTGAATTGGAGGAAGCTTGATCTGAACTTCACAGAGTGGAAAGCTTTCTTCCCCTGAAGAAGATGTAAGCTTGCTTCGGGTGATTGCTACGCCGGGTGATTGGCGCTAGAGGACACGTGGCGTAACGTTGTTTTGGTACGAGTCAGCAATATCCGACGTGGCTAATGGTATGGTTAATAAACAAACCATCTCCTTAATTCAAATCGTGCATTGCCCCCAAAAGCTCCAAGAAGCTGAAGAACCCTAATGCGATGGCGGCAGCAGCGGGGGCGACGGGAGCGACGGGAGCGACGGCACCGGTGGCGGGGGCGGCGGCGCCTGGAGCAGCTGGGGCAGCTGGAGCGGAGGGGATGGGGACGACAGCAGCAGCCACAGTGGGGAAGGCGGCAGAGCGCGCTGGCAGGCACAGTAACAGTAAGCGCAATAACTCTTACGTTTTTCTTAGTTTCGTTTTCCTTCGTTGTCTAGGAGCTGTGCAGAAGGAAATCCAACCGGATGTCAGTGCGTCTGACAAAACCCCCTTGCTGAACGGTAAGCTTGATATAACTGCTGGGCGACAAGACTCTTACGTTTTTTGTTTAGGAAAGGAAATCAGCAGCGAATCCCCACGTATGGCAGATAGATAGTTTAAAAACTTACACTTTTTCCTTGTTTAGGAGTGCCGCCGATTGTGCCGGATCCCGGCTTCTTGGCCAGCGAGGCAAGAGCATTCCATTTCCAACCACTGAGCATCGGTGAGCTTTTTTTTCTACGAAGTTCTGTCATCTAGGACATTCCTTACCAGATCGACATGAGCCTTTGATCGAGATATCACGTTCGTGGAGCCAGAGGTGGTGGGGGGCCTGACAGAAGGGCCTTGTATGGCTTGTGCAGCTCTTTAGAGTTGTAATCCCTCCACACCAGGAGGTACTGCCTGCCGACCACCCATCCGAAATGCGCAGGTGGCTGACGCCTCTTCTCTACACACGCTTGCGGCTGGAAATGGCAAGGGCAAGGTAAAAATATTTCTGTTTGGAATTGTTATGTTATCTTTATGATAGGTACGAGCGTGCTGAGCTACGGATCGGCGGAGCTTTTCTTGTTGGTGTGAGCGTCTACGTGTTCACTCTCTGTCACTGGGTGTTGAGGACTCACTTCCAGTGTAAGGTACAGAATGTTTATTTGAATCATAAATGTTTCATATGTATTTTATTTGTAGGCTGTTTTGTGGAGGGTGTGTCTCTACACACCCAGGACTCTTGCAGTCCTCTACCCAGCCATGTTCATTGTGCCTGGCATTGTGAGCTTTCGCTACTCAGTCTATGCTGCTTTGGGAGGTAAGTGATTTCAACTTTTAAACATTATTAAACATTTGACGCTGTTATTTTTTCTTGAAGTGGTGTGGATGGTGCTGTGTGGGGGTGGCACTGTGGTGGTTGCAGCAGTCAAAGGCTCGAAAGTTGTTTGGCTGGTGAGCACCACAGGCTTTGGAGCTAGCTACGTTGTCCTAGCTCTCTTGGGGAGGCAGTACATAGCTCCAGTTGCACCTTACAGTGAGTATGACCAGGTGTGTTTTCTACAACTTGCTTTCAGCTTTTTTGTTTTTAAAAAGAGTTTTCTTTTTTCCAGCTTGCGAGGACAAATCAAGACCTCTCCCAGTTTTTGGAGACTCAGTTCCCCCCGGTTGCAGGTATGACCACGAGAGAGGGGGTTGCTTACTTCCTACTCTCCCTTGTGTTTCCTATACTTTCTGTTGTGTTAGCTATTTGGTTGTAGTCATCTCTCCTATTCATACTTTCATATTCATCTCATCAACTAGATATATTCATCCACTCCAATTTTTTCTCACTGAAGTTTGATTTTATGGGTGAAGTGATCTTTCATTTTATTTATTTATTTATTTATTTATTTATTTATTCAGGTTCTACTACAGCACTGGACCTTGCCGGACTGCTGCCACTGGCTCTCGATGGTTGCGGCTCTCGTGAAGAACGGCCGAAACAAAAGGGATGGAAGAAGGGATGGGACTAAAGGAAAAATGTTTAAGGTTGGTCTTCTCGTCCCTAAAGAACATTGCTGATCCTGAACCGAGTCCCCCATAACTCACAGTGGAGCAGGACACCAAGCTCTTGTTCTTCTTCAGACGAAGAAGGCGATTGATCACTTCGGCCAGATGATCAAGAGAGGCAGCAACACGGTGACTTACAACTCCCTGGGACAGATGGACGAGGCGATGAACCAGATAACCGAGACTGGAAGCTCTCCGGACGTACACCACCCTCATGAACGGCTTCTGCAAGCTGACGAGGTTGGACGATGCGTTCGATCTCCTCAACCAGATGAGCGCAGGGGGCTGTGGTGAATTTCACGACCTTGACGCTGTGCATGTTTTAGGTGAGACGAGGAGAAGCTTCTTATCTACACTCTATACCATTCGCTGCAGACTAAACCAGTTGGAGGCCTGGAACTTGAGAGGGATTGTCCTCCCAGCGTTGTCTAGTTCAACCCAGGACAGTGTAAAGTGAACTGGTCCAGGGAAGCCATGGAGCTCATCGAAGAAGCCCGAAGAAGACTGGATGTGGTGTTGTATACCACTGCTATCGATGGCCATTGTGTTGGGTATTTTTCTTTAAAGTTATAAACAAAATTTTTCTTTTGTGTATGTACATGTAGGTTTTATGTTTGGACTTTGTAAAATTTTATATGTATAATTATCTAATTGTTTATTGAAATAACTTTGTTTTTAAGTTTTGAGACTCCCTTTTATTTGTTTAAATTTAAAGCTTAAACAACTGCAGAATACAGAAGCATGTCGCCACACATCCACTTCACCGGATTCTTTCATTAGCTAGAGGTGTCGCCAACTGGCCAGCCCCAGGATGCGGCAGCTAAGTTGGCTGAGCTAAACGAATTTTCATGCCAAAAACCACTGGATGAGACCCATGATTTCACTTGTAAATCTGGAAATCTAGGGAAAGATGTCTTATGTGATTTCTTACAGAGCCAGCAATTTGTTTGGATCTTCAGCAGAAAGACTGTTTGTGAGCTCCAAGGCAGGAAAAGCTAATTCTCTGGGAAGCATTTAGAAGACTTGGTTGTAAAGTGTGGAGACTGCCAAGACGGAATGGAGCTGAATGAAGACTTGAAATTAGTGGCATCTACCAGGAAAGAAGCTCCATCTTTATTAGAAGATGAAATCTTCCACACACATCGTCCATGAGTAGGACCTTTTTGGGAGGTGTTTTTGAGAAGAACTCGTGGCCCCTGGGAAGAATGGCTAAGGTGAAGAAGCTCTGGAGACCATAGAGAGAATGCATCTCCTCTTATATCACTGCTATTTTTGCTGCTGAAAATGAAGGTAGTGGTTTTCTTCTTCAGAATTTCAATGATCTTAGTGTTTGAGTTGGATTCACAGATCTGCACTGGACGACCAAGTTACCCTAGCAATATGGTGCCCGATTTTGGAGAAGAAAACTACTACCTTCATTTTCAGCAGCGAAAGTAGCAGTGATGAGCAGGGATAAAGGGAGCAATGCAAGCACAAGCTTTCGAGAAGGAGCCATTTCTCCACAAGAGGAGCAGAAAAAATGAGAAAACAAAGGAGGCTGCCTCCCATAGATAAAGCTCCATATGGGCACAAACTCTCACAAAAGCTCGCACAGACTTTAGAATGCGAAGTGTTTGGTCATAGCTAGCGGCAGTTATGTAGATGACCATGAGGAAAGAGGGTCGACCAAAAGACGAGCAGCAATCCTAATCTAGAGAGCTGTGATTCTCAATAGAGATATAATTCCAAGCATGTTTGCTTTGACACCATAACTAAAGACTTGTTCGATTAGCAAGGAAGAATGAATGCTTTGGAGCTGCTTGTAACTCTCGGCTTCCAAATAAACTGAGAGCAACAGCCTCGTCAAGATGCCTCATGGGACGTATATGTGCATGATACTGGTCCAAGACGCAAGCCTTGTGTTCCAGGAGATCACTTTCTTGCTGAGCATCGGAAAGAAAAGAGTGTATTTGCGACCTCCAGATGCCCGTTTAAGGCAAATGTAGTAATCGTACCAAATCGGTGGCGTCTTTGATGCTCCAGCACTTCTGGCACATCTATAGAGGAGATTGAAACAAAGCGCTTATATCAGAGACTGGATGACACGGTGCATCCTCCTGCCGTGAGCCAAATCTCGCACAATCTCAGCTGCTGCTCGATCTAAAGAGCTCCTCTTGACTCACTAGCACAAATCCTACGCATCAGGCAAAGCTTCAATGAGGATTCTCCAAATGCCGCCATTCTTTCATCAGTCTCAACCAACCATCATGGCCCGTTTACACATCCTACTGTATCATGAAGCTCTTCAGGTAAAGATGGTTAATCTGCTCCGATCCATCTTGTCCAAAGATGCACCAAGAGAAGCAAGGAATAATCACAACACACAAGGAAAGGAGAAAGAAACTAATGAGTGCTCTGGCTCGAGAACATGCAGTCGATCAAGCTATGCTCCAGCAGGAGCGGCGCGATCAACTGTATCACACTCCTGCTTGCGCGCAGGACAGAGATCGATCCTGTGACTTTCTGCTCCGGAAACAGACGCTCTATCCACTGAGCTACAAGCGCTTTACAAGCACTTTCTAAGCCAGATTTTTGAATTTTATCCGGCGCTGTCACTTCTTGCGATGCTTTCCCGGCGATCAGCCGGTGCATTCCCAGATGCCGCATGTTTTGAGCCCTAGATAATCTCTTGATAACTTCTTGACAAGCTGAGAGCATTGTAAGAGAACCCGTGTAGATTTTCCTGCCTTCTTCCACGTTTGAGCACGCGGAGATGGAGCTCACAGACAGCCGCTTGGGTGAGTCAAGCTTTTGGCTAACTAGAGTCAACGGCTATATTGACCACAAGAACATTCGCTAGCATCTTTGACTGATCATTTGTGTTAGTTCGGCCGATGGTTTCTAGGATTTTGAGCCCGCCTTGGAACCGGTCCAGCCCGAAGAAGACAATGTATACCACTGAAGAAGACGATGGACGTGCGATAGTGCATCGTACTCGCCTTATGTGCCCTTGCAAATTCCTTGGTGCTAGCTGTGGACGCGCCATTATCATTCTTTCTATCTATCAAGGCGCTAGAACCCTAAATCCCGGACTCCTAGAACGCCATGTACATGTCGCCCAGGAGATCCCATGCCTGCTTCGCTGACGTCGTGTGCCACACCTGCATTAGCTGCCTGTCCTCGAGATGGAGCTAAATATTCGCTCGTGCTCTCGCGTCCTTCTTCTCAAACTCCAGGCGATCTTCCTTCCTCGCGGATTCTCCCGGCCGGGCCTCCGATCCGCTCACCACGCCCCACTGATCGTGTAGCACCAGCAGCATTTGCATCCTCATCTTCCAGACGTGGAATCTGGCGCCCCCGAATCGCTCCACCAAGAACATCGACCCTTGCTCGTCCCTCATCGGGAGAAATCTTTCCTCCCTGTACGAGCTCTCATCTCTGTGCGGGATTTCTCGCGGAAATGCGGCCTCGGGAAGGATTTCGCGTTGTCAGCGACGGATTGGGACGTGTCGAGGCCGGATTGCTCCGCCGGATCATCGCCACAAAATCTCCAGCGGTGCCTGGCACAAACACGAGAGATTTCGCAAGAAATACACGGCGTCGCGTGATTTCACCTCGGCGGAAAGAACAAGAGCCCTAAAACCAGACTAAAATTTTTCTTCTCTTGTTTGTTCTAAAGCTCATGTTTGTTCTTTAGGATGACTTCTCCTCACTTCCACCGGTCATTCCAGAAGACAATTCTCGGGTTGGTAGGAACTTTTCGTGTTCTTCTTAGAAAACCTTTTTTGTTTCAAGAGTGAGCTGCTCGATCACTGCTCCCGAGCGAGCATTGGAGATCGATGACATGAAATCGTGAGTCTCTTGCCATTCTCCATCGTGAATGCCACCCCGAGCTCAACGCTTTTTCGGAAGGATTTGCAGGTGCCTTGAGATGCAAATTCTTTTATCATCTTTTCTCAGAAGCTGTGATTCTTGTCCAGGTGTTGTCGTGGATTTGTTCTCGAAAGCGGAAGTTTTGCCAGAGCTCCACACGTTCTTTGTGAAAGCTATCTACAGTCTCGTATCCTGGAGAAAATGACTTGCCTGTCTATACTTCCAGACAGACCATCTGGCAAGATTAAGATCCTGATCCTGAACAAGCTCATGAGCTCGCTGCTTAGTTTGATCCACTGTATAGGTGGAAATCTCGGTGGTTTTTACAAACTTGGAGAACTCCAAAGTAGTCGTCATTGACACGAACTACCTCTCATTTCGAAAGTTAACAGAGTTTGTCATCTCACAGAGCTCAAATCGTCAACGTGAGCTCCGGAACAAGCAGAGGATGTAAACCACCTTAAGATCTTACAAGCTTTTGCTTTCCAGGCTGGTGGACTTTATGGGAGATTGGCGGATTCGGTGCAGAGTCCTTGCAGCATAGTAGGATGGCTATCATGCACAGCATGGAGACGAAGAATCGGCTCCATCAATTGACGAAGATTGCGAACCGAGCACAGCGACTTTGGTTGTTGTTATTGAGTCTCGGCAGCAAAGGAGATGACAAAGGCAAGTTTGAGAAGTGATCGGAACTAATGGTGCTGGGATACACTGAAAGTGGTGAAGCCGAGAAGGCACTCAAGCTTTATTCGCAAATGATCGGCTCTTCGCCGGTCACGTCACTCTCCTCGCAGCAAAACCTTGCCGAGAAGGAGCAACTGAAGTCGCTCGAGGATTCGCACAGCTTACACGACCACTGAGGTTTTTCGACACGGAACTTGACACCATGCTGGCAATTAAGCTGCTGGATTCTTACCCGAAGGTCGTTTATGTCTCGTACATCTGTAAAGAAGATTGGAGACAAAGTGATAGGCCCGATGTGACGGTGGATCCGCCTGCCATCGCATTTCTTTATTGACAGCAAGCTTGGATAACGCGATTCCGAAACTCATGTTTCTCTGGTTTTATGTTTCTACGAGGCTGATAAAAAATTCTAGGCTTTGAAAATAAATCTGGTGTGAGCGTGAAGGCCGTCTTATAGTTATACTTGCTGCAGATACTCCATGAATTATTCTTGAAGAAGAAGGCCATCGGTGGAGAGACTGATAACATACTTGGTCGCACAACAACAGAATGCTTGACAACAAAATACTCAAACTCAAGAGCGCCATTCTTCACCAAGTCACCCACGTAAACCTCACTCAAAAGTTTCCAATCTATTGTCTCCCTGTCGAGTTCCCATGCAGCAGCAGACACCTTATAACCACCACTTATAGTTGACGAAACAAGAATCCACCTCCCATTGTAATCTACAATACAAGGCAGCCCACAACAGAAAAGATTGCTTGGAAACTTCACCTTGACCCTGTCATAGCAACCTGAAACCTGATCAAACACAGCCACGTAAAGAAGATCAACCCGACCACCGGTGATCTTTAGCGACTGCCTGTTAGGTGATGCAAACATACTAGATCCCAGCCATGGTCCCTTGTCATCCGCAGCGAGATCATCAATGCTCTTCTTGCTTGTAAACTGGCAGCGCCGCCACTGCCTAGTGAGCGAATTGAATAGCCAGTAGTGATCAAAATCTGCAAGGAGAAACACCAGGACCTTGAAGTACCCTGTGCATGGATCCACAAGCAGTTTCCCCTCTTTCCTCGAGACCTCGTTCACCGGCGGCTTGGGGAGGCGACACCACGTCCCGGTAATCGGATTCCCAACCATGTAATATGGAAGGTGGTGTCTCTGGAGATTCACAAAATAGCCACACACCAGGCCGCAGGACGAGTCGGCAAATATCCTAAACCTGCAGCGTCCTTCACTCCAAGGACCTCTATTCTTCAAGCGCAAGGGCAACTTAAGATGGCGAGCCCTGTGGGGAGAATTACTAGTGGCCAAGATACGACAGAGAACGGAACTATTGTCTACAAACCACGACTCATGCAACCGCGGCAAGCTTCTCCAGCGAGTGGCATCCTCAATGAGTGACTTCCAGCGCTTGCAGACAAGCTTGCAGCGGACAAGGTCTGGAATGGGGAGCCATGCCAAGATCCGGCAGACGCACTCGTCAGGTAGCTCCTCACACTCGAAACTCTCAGGAAACATGAAAGCGAGGCAAACGCGCACATCTCGAAGCAAAACAAGGCTTTTCCCTTTCCTCGTTAAACAGAGAGGAAGATATAGCCTATGCAGGTTTCGAACCTGCGACCTTGGCGTTATTAGCAGCACGCTCTGACCAACTGAGCTAATAGGCCTTAAACATTAAGTGCTTATCTATTGGTTGGAATTATGTAGTAGCATATGGCCGAGCTTCACTTGCCCGTGCTCGATCTTCTTCTCGTTAGGTCCAATCCACTTGTATTGCGATGCTTGCCGGCGATTCCAGTCGCAGCGCCCAGATGCCGCATTGCCCGTCTTGCCGCCAATGCCGCGTCTTCGTCCAAGAGGAAGAGAGATTTCTCGGTGGAGCAATGGACGGAGGAGGATTTGGAGGCCACCGCGGCCGCTCCCACCGTCGTGACCTCGATGATGAGCTTCTACAACGCCATTGCGATTCTCGAGGTGCCCAGGGATTCGCCCAGTGAATTCGCGGGAGCTAGATTGCTGCTGCTGGATCAAACAGGTGAGCAATCTCTCTCATCTATAGATCATTTGGTTCTTTTTGTGGTGATTGAGAGAGCTTTACGTCCCAATGTAGGAAATGTTCATAGTATTTACAAGGAGGATTCTGTGTGGGTCGGTTCATACTGGGTAAATAGCTTCCTTTCTTGAGGAGTGAAAAGCGAGTTATGACTTCTTTGTGTGATTGAAGGACGAGTTCTCCTCGCTTCCACCGATCATTCCCAGAGGTCCCATTGCAATTCTAGGACTGGTAAGAGCTTTTCGATTTCTTCCTAGGTTTCCTGGTTTTTCTGTGTTTGATCATCAGGGCGGTGGTACAGCTGCACGATTGCTGCTCCACTTGTGGCCGGAGCGAGAATTGATAGGCTGGGAAATTGATGAGATCGTGAGTAACTCTTTGACACCGTCAATGCAAACTCTTACGTTGTTGAGGCTTGCAGCTAATTGACAAGGCAAGGGATTATCTCGGCTTGTCGGAGTTAGAAGGCAAAATCAAACACGGTGGAGGGCTTACAATTCACATCGACGATGCTCTCTCGGATGCAAATGATCCCGAGGGTGGATTCGCAGGTAGCTCGCTGCAACCTCTCTTTTTTTATCTTCAACCTCACTTTTCTACAGGCATTGTCGTCGATTTATTCTCAAATGGCGATGTTCTGCCAGTTCTCAAGGAGGTGAGAAACGAGTTTTAGTCTTTGCGGAGCATCAGATCACTGATATCTTTTCCTGATTGTTACTTCCAGGCAGAGACATGGTTTAAGCTCAGGAAAAGACTAAGACCCGGGGGCCGGATCATGATCAACTGCGTAGAAGAGCAAAGACATGGACATGACGATGATGAAACTCTAGAGTCCACAATTACGGGCGAGAACCATGTTCTTTATGCGATGTCAAAGGCATTTCCAGGCGAGGTAAGACTTTTTTCTCCATTTCCTAATACTTAAAGCGCTTACGAGTTGAAGGAACCGCAGGTGAACTGGCGGAAGCTTGATCAAGTGAATAACAAGATGGCTTTCACGGGTCCCCTCCCCAATCTCTCACAGTGGTCTCAGGCTGTTCCCGAGAGGCTGCGAAAAGGGACACTACAGTGGAAGGCTTTCATACAGTGAAGAAAATGCCTCTTTTCACTTTTTCATTGTTGTTTCTGTCATAGTTTGCTAATCGATCAATCCATCTTTGGCTGGACAAGTGCAGGGTGGTTTTTCTTTTCTTCATCTGTTTCTCCAGGTGGCGAGTTCGCATCTACCTAGTACGAAAACGTTTACATTTGGAAATTGAGGCCCCAAAACTTAGGGTAATCTTCCGAGACGAACAAGATGATGGCTCTCAAGCGCAAAGCTGGCGAGGATGAAGCGTGCATCGCGAACAAGAAGGTGTGTGGGGGTGTAGGAGTCAGATTAGGAAAGCCATGGCAGAAATGGGCCATTACCATTTGTACTCGTGAGCGAGGACTTGATGAAATAAAAGCATCTTCTCCTTGGAATGTATTCACTGATGGTTCCTTCGATAAAGAGTCGCTCTCGGCAGGGTACGGCGTCTACTTCCCGTCTGCAGAGGAGTCCCACAAAGGGACGGGCATGGCTGTGCAAATCCCGCAGGAGAACGGCTGGTGCAAAAACGGGAACCCTATCGTCGACAGCCTCATCGTGTCTTCGCTCAACATGGAGGTTCTTGCGATACACGACTCCATCGCGGCGGTGCAGCTGTACAGGGCTCGAGGTTACTGGCAGTCCAACAAGCTGAATATCTACACGGACAGTTTGCAGTCGCTGAAGCTGTTGCAGTTTGCGCAGTGCCGGCCTGAGCACCCCGACTGCATCCAGCTCAAGCCGCTCCTGCAGTGCATCGTTGACGCGGCAGCAAAGAGCGGGATGGAGATCCGGCTGTGCAAAGTCAAGGCGCACGACAAGGTATATGAGAATAATGTAGCGGACGGGCTCGCCAGGAGAGGGCGCCAACTCGAGGGGCGGAAGATCCAGTGGTTCCAGGTAGAAAGGTCTGCTAAGTCGACCAGTGATTGTGAAATTGTGAAATATAGTGAGATTAAAGTGTGATACATTAATAGCTATTTCTCTCCCTTTTTTTTGAAAAGGCTTGTTAACTACCAAACATTCAATATAGTGATACATTAATAACTATTTCTCTTCCTTTTTCTTGAAAAGGTGTTAATTTTCTATAAAGTCACTATCCCAAATCTAAATCCAGTGTGCTGCAGAAAATAGAGAAAAACAAGCTTTACCATGGATTTGTGAACTTAAGTTTGTCACCACAAGCACCATTTTGCTGTAAAGTCATTGTGTAATTAGTTCATTTGTCACGAAAAGCAGAACTTTGCTAAAAGTCACTGCGCAATTAGTACTAAGTTTGAATCCAAAGAGCTACAGAAAATAGAGAGTTCCAAGCTTTACCATGGCATTGTGCAATTCTAGCTCATCATGACAAGTAACATTTTGTTATAAAGTCATCAAGTGATTAGTCCAAAGTCTGAATCTAGCAAGCTACAAAAAATAAAGACGATCAAGTTTTACCATGGCCTCATGCTTGTCACCACAAACAGGGAGAAGCAAGCCTTACCATGGTGTTGTGCTCTTTCAACTTATCACCATAAGTAGCATTTTGCTTTAAAATCACTGTGTGATTAGTCTTAAGTCTTAATTCAATGAGCTGCAGAAAATAAAGAAGAGCAAGCTTTAATATGGTCCTATGCAATCTAACTCGTCACCACAAGTAGCATTTTGTTGTAATGTCACCACCAGATTAGTCTGCTCATCATGACAAATAACATATTGCTCCCAAATCTAAATCCAACAAGCTGTAGAAAATAGGGAAAAGCAAACTTACCATGGCTTTGTGCACTTCAAGCTCATGACCACAAGTAGTATTTTGCTATAAAGGCACAAAATGATTAGTCTAGAGTCTGAACTGAGCTACAAAAAATAAAGAGCAAGCCTTTATTATGGCCTCGTGCATTTATAGTTTGTCACCACAAGTATTTGTAAGACATAAATCCCAAAGTGGAACCCTCATGTGGTAATGGCCAAAGGAAAAGCCTAATGAGTGAACACATTTAAATTAAAAACTCCAACTTAAAAAGTTGAGAGCTAGAGTGGAACTTTTAAAGAAATGCTTAAAGAATGAGCATAAAGCAAGTGGGGAATGAGTTTTGAAAAAGGCACAAAAAAATCAAAATAGAATTTGAGATGGAGTCTAAGATGGAGTCTAAGGAGTTTGAGATGAAACTCGAGATGGAGTCCGAGGCTAAATTTAAAATTGGATCCAAGATTAAAATTGAGTTTGGGACTAGGATTGGGACTAAAATCAGGACCGAGACCAAATTTGAGTTCAAGTTCATGTTTAAGTCTAAATTCGAGTCCGAGGGTGAAAGCCCAAAATAATCATCTCCCAAGACCCTAAGGGATTTAATGAATCCCTATAAGATAATAAAAAGATAGAACTAATTTGGTTAGAAAAAGCTAATGTGATAAAGAAGGTTATATTTACGTAGTGATATAACCACTAAGGAATCTAAAGCTACACTAGCATTCTTTCTGTCTATCCGGCCGCTAGAACCCTAAATCCCAAGATCGCCACCAGGAGATCCCATGCCTGCTTCGCTGACGTCGTGTGCCACACCTGCATTAGTTGCCTGTCCTCGAGATGGAGCAAAATATTCGCTCGTGCTCTCGCGTCCTTCTTCTCAAACTCCAGGCGATCTTCCTTCCTGGCGGATTCTTCCGGCCGGGCCTCCGATCCGCTCACCACGCCCCACTGATCGTGTAGCACCAGCAGCATTTGCATCCTCATCTTCCAGACGTGGAATCTGGCGCCGCCGAATCGCTCCACCAAGAACATCGACCCTTGCTCGTCCCTCATCGGGAGAAATCTTTCCTCCCTGTACGAGCTCTCATCTCTGTGCGGGATTTCTCGCGGAAATGCGGCCTCGGGAGCTTCGATCGGGAAGGATTTCGAGTTGTCAGCGACGGATTGGGGCGTGTCGAGGCTGGATTGCTCCTGGCGAACGACAGGGGGAGCTTGTCGCGCCGGATCATCGCAAACAAATCTCCAGCAGTACCTGGCAGGCACACACACGAGAGATTTCGCAAGAAATTCACACGGCATCGCGCGATTTCACCTTTCCATTCCTCTCTTCATCGAATCGAAGAGACGCAAAGAACAAGAGCCCTAAAACCAGTTAACATGCTACTCGCAATATTTGCTTGCTTTGTCTGGTGGCCTCTTTTCCCTTCCTCGAGCGATGGGGTCGCCATAGCCGGGTTCCCACTCTCACAGCTGCCCGTGGAGCTTCTTAGGGTAGTGAATCCTCCATTGCGATGCTTGCCAGCGATCAATCCGCGTGGATGCCGCCTTGTTCTTGCGGCCAAGCCAGGGAGGGATGGGATTTCCTTGGAGGAGGGATGGATCGAGGAAGATTTGGACGCCGCCGGCCCAGCGATTCTCGCGTCCTTGGAGAGCGACTACAATGCCATTGCGATCGTGGAGCTGCCGAGGGATTCGCTGGCTGATTTCGCTGGGGCAAGATTGCTGCTGCTCGATCAAACAGGTAGGCTAGGGATTATCGCTTTCTTTGTTCATGGATTTCTTGTGTGACTCGAGTCGTGCTAGGATCTTTGTCAATGTAGGAGATCCTCACAGCGTTTACATGGAGGATTCGATGTGGGTTGGATACTACTGGGTATAGAAATTCTCTTTCCTTTCTTTGTTCTTATGTAAGCTCATGTGTGTTCTTTAGGATGAGTTCTCCTCGCTTCCACCGATCATTCCGGAAGGTCCCATTGCAATTTTCGGATTGGTAAGAACTTTTCGTGTGCTTCTTCTTACAAAAATCTTTGTTTCAACAGGGAGGTGGCACTGCTGCTCGATTACTGCTCCATTTGTGGCCCCAGCGAGAATTGATAGGCTTTGAGATCGATGAACTCGTGAGTCTCTTGCATTTTCCATCCCCGGAGCTCAACCAGTTTTCATGCAGCTGATTGAAAAGGCGAGAAAATATCTTGGCCTGTCCGAGCTGGAAGGCGAGAATGAACATGGTGGCGGACTGAAAATTCATATCGGAGACGCTTTCTCGGATGCCAATGATCCCGACGGAGGATTTGCAGGTACTGTGACATGCAAGTTCTTTTATCATCTTTTCTCAGAAGCTGTGATTCTTGTCCAGGCATTGTCGTGGATTTGTTCTCAAACGCGGAGGTTTTGCCAGAGTTGCACGAGGTAGAAACAACGTTATGGTCTTTGTGATCTCATAGTTTTAGTTCTTCCAGGTGGAGACATGGTTGAAACTCCGGAAGAGATTGAAACCGGGAGGCCGGATCATGATCAACTTCGTGGAGAAAAGGAAGCTCCATGGAGATCAAAACAAGCACAACATTCTACGTGCAATGTCTAAAGCATTTCCAGGCGAGGTAAAGCTTTCTCTTTGTTTTTCTCCTCTAGAGTTTGGAAACAAAACTCTCTCCAGGTGAACTGGCGAAAGATTGATCGAATTAACAACAAAATGGCTTTCACGGGTCCTCTCCCGGATCTCCAAAAATGGTCTCAGGCTCTTCCCGAGAGGCTACAAAAAGGCACACTCGAATGGAAAGCTTTCGATTGACAAGCCTTCTCTCCGGAAAGAAAAAAAAAAATCAATCTCGTCTCGGGGTGGAAAGAATCTGCCCGATAATCGCATTCACCTTCACACAACCAGCGTAAGCACAAGAGAGAAAAAAAGAGAGCTCTTTCGTGGAGCTGACTTGCCTGTTTATACTTTGAGACGCATCGATCAATGCAGGCCATCTCGCCAAGATTAAGATCCGGATCCTTGTAACTGTGAGCACAATCCATCCAAAAATGATTTTTTTTTTGGAAGTTTGAAGCTGAGAACTCACTTTTTTCCAATACATTTGTCGCAGCACATTTTGGTCATTCTGGATCACGGAAAAAAAATCCCCAATAAGCTCGCAGCTGGAACCAATCGAAGAGACTTACTTGGTGTTGAGCTCGACCCAATACCCCAGTTCCTCGATCACGCCAAGGTCCGTCGTCTTGCTCATTAGAAAGAAAGCTCTTATTAACGGAGAAACCCTAGCCCTAGATTCCAGGAGGCATATGCTTCCATTTGAAAACGGACAATTTTCGCCGGAAAACACGAAGCACCCTTTTTGTTCTTCCGCAAGATCTGTGTGGCCACGCGCTTTAAAGAACTCCTCGAGGATTTCTCGATCACAACGATCTCCTGGAGGAGCTCGAAGAACGCTCTTCGAAGAACCTTGAGCCATGGGCAGCAATCGGTGAGTGGTATTTCTCGTTTCTTCTCGCATCTCTAACTCCTGGATCGATTTTGCGCGATCGATCGAAGATGGTGGTCGAGAGAGACGATTGCCGTGGTGACTGGCAGCAACAAGGGGCTTGGATTGGCCATAGCTCGCGGTCTGGCCATGGAGGGCGTGACGACGATCCTGACTGCCAGAGACGAGCTCCGGGGCTGGGAAACCGTGGACTCGCTCAAACAAGACGAGAGAATCGATCCATCGCTGATCCACTTCCACCGGCTGGACGTGACAAGCGCCTCGTCGATCCAGGAGTTTGCGAGATGGATCAAAACCAAGTTTGGTGGCTTGGACATTTTGGTAAGAACAAGCTCGCGAGCTCACTGCTTAGTTTGATCCATTGTCAAGGTGAACAACGCGGGAATCTCGGGAGCTACTCCGGGAGCTCTCACAAACTTGGAGAACTCCAAAGCTGTGATTGACACGAATTACCTCGCAGTTCGAAAGCTCACAGAGAGTTTGATCTCGCTCATGCGTCCATCCTCTCACGGAGCCCGCATCGTCAACGTGAGCTCCGGAACAAGCCGATTGGATGTAAGCCTCCTTCTCCATCTTGAATCCTCCAAAGATCTTACAAACTTCGCCTTCCAGGCACTGCAAAACCAAGCTCTCGCCCATAAGATCTCAAACATTGACGAGCTCTCGATGGAAGCCATCGACGAGATAGTCAAGGAGTACCTGGAGGACGTCGAGCACGGACGGGTCATCGAGAAGGGCTGGTCCAGGATGTTTGGAGCTTACGACTACTGCTTCTCCAAGATAGCTCTCAACGCCTACACGCGAGTTCTGGCGAGAGATCTCTCCAAACTTCCCGAGGGTCACAAGATCTTCGCCAACTGCATGTGTCCGGGGCTGGCCAGCACGGACATGTCCAGGAACAACGGGCACTCGGCCGAGGTTGGAGCGGACACGGCCATTTGGTTGGCGTTGCGGCCGGCGATAGAGTCGAGCTCGGGGCGATTCTTCTCCAAGAGGAACGACGTTGGGTTTGATCGAATCCCCTTCTACATAGAAAACGTTGCCTACACTTCCGATCTGGAGGACTTCATGGAGTGTATCAGGAAGGTGGAAGCAGCAGCGAACTCGTAAAAGCTGGAGAGAAAAAACAAAATGAAAGGAGAGTTAGAACCGAAAAAAAAAATGAACTTTTGCTTGGAAGACTTTCTCTGCCTGTAAAGGTCTCAAAGGTAAATGTTAAGACTCTACAAGCACTGCCGCTCCCCCTCGTCCTTGAGCCTGCTCGCGAGAACTGCCTTCAGCGCCTTCAACATCTCGTTCGGTCGGCCTCCTCATCGAGCTTGAACTCGAAGTTTGCCTCGGCGAAGTCCCTGTAGTAGTCGTTCACCTCCGCGAGATCGTTTTCCAGCAGCGTCTACATGTAGCACTCCTTGCAGTCGCACATGAAATTCAGGCTCTTGTGCTTGAAAGGATGGCCGCCCTTGATGAAGCTCTTCTCCAGCGTCGATGTCTCGGGCCGCGAAGTAGCAGGTCACCTTTAATGTCCGTTTTGCAGAGGAATGGTTGATGAAGCTCGGTGTTGCGAGGTGGAAGAAGCCGCTCCGATTGTAGGACGCCTTGCTGACGATCTCAAAGGTTCGCTTCACTTCAATGCCTTCCGCCGCTGCTGTCAGTGCAAATCGGCCAATTCTCGGGAGTTGTCCAGTTCGGCCGGAAGGTTTCCATGCCGGGGACTTCTCGCTCGTCGCCCGCCGCCTCGCAAACGAGGCTGAGAAGCTGCTTGTATACCCGTGGAGATTTCATAGCCATGTCAAGCAGCCGAGCAGCAGCGTCTCGGTCCCAAGCCGACTCGTTTTCACCCTGCTCGAAGATGACCGCGTTGCTCACGAGCACAAGCTCACCTCGGTTAATCTTTCTCGTCGCAGACGGCCGCCGGCCACGCTTCTTGCTCTGGTCTCCACACATCTTCACCTCCACCGGGCCAACGTACTCGGCAAGCACTGGAAACTTTGGCTGTTTCTTGCTCTTGCCGTTGGAATCGCTCCACGCGCGGCTGTCCGGCTTTGCCTGGCAAGTTTCTGGGACTTCTCGAATAGCTAGTCGATGGTTTGGTCGAAATCTCTCAAGAGCTGCCACGACCATTCGTAGCGATGGGGCTTGAGCAAAGCAGACGACTTCCGATACACGCTCTTGAGATGGCTGGGATCAGCGCCACTAGCCTGTGATGCGCTCAAGGCATAGGCTTGAGCAGCGGCCTCAAAGCTCTCGTCTTTGAAGAGCATGTTCCCTGTCGCGGGGTTCATACCTGCATGGAGGCGATCGTCGCCAAAGAAAGAGAGCACCTCCACGTTCGCCGGATTGTCGACATACTAACCTCGAAATTAAACCGTGATTATTTCCGTGCCTCTCTCGACGATGGCCTTGACAACACGATGATCGTCCTGTCTGCCAAGCTTGATCTCCCACTCTCGCTCGATCACGCTCCATGCCGCGTCCTTGTCCCGTGCAAACTCCACCAGAAGTTTCATGTAAGCCAGATTCGTGTCGCTGGCCGCCGAGAACTTGTGCATCGCGGCCATGATCACCTCCGCCGCTGGGACGCCACCGCCAGGCACCGGCACCGCCGCCCCACTCTCCACCCTCTGGTAATAGTAGAGGTATAGCGACCAGTGGATCGCTCGCAAGCACTGCCGGTCCTCCTCGTCCTGGAGCTTGCTCGCGAGAACGTCTTCCAGCTTCTTCACCACCTTGCCAGCCTCGGGATCCTTCTTGAACTGGAACTCAAAGTTTGCCTCGGCGAGGTCCCTGTAGTAGCCGTTCACCTCCACGAGATCTTCATCCAGCAGCGTCTCGAGGTGGCACTTCTTGCAATCACACTCGAAGGATGCGAGCCTCTTGCGCCTGTAAGGATGGCCGCTATTGATGTAGCAGTGGACGAGCTCTTCTCCGGCGGCGATGTCGCGAGCAGCAAAGTAGCAGGCCGAAGTTCCTAGCACCGTCTGGCACACGTTTGGAACGCAGGAATGGTTGATGAAGCTCGGGAGGAACCACGTCGCGACGTAGATGAGGCCTTTCGAGTACCTCGGATTGAAGGCGGCCTTGCTGACGATCTCACAGGTTCTCTGCACGTCGATGCCTTGAAGCGCCTCTCTGCCGGTGCTATCAGTGCTGCTAATCGGCCAAGCCTCGGGAGTTGTCCAGTTCGGCTGGAAGATTTCCATGGCAGGGACTTCTCGCTCGTCACCCGGCACCCCGCAAACGAGGGTGAGGAGCTGCTTGTATGCCCGTGGAGATTTCATGGCCATGTCGAGCAGCCGAGTAGCAGCGTCACGGTTGCAAGCCGACTGGTCGTCACCACGCTCAAAGATGACCGCGTTGCTCACGACCAGAAGCTCGCCTCGGTTGATCTTTCTTGTCGCAAACAGCCCCCGGCCACGCTTCTTGCTCTGGTCTCCACACATCTTGATCTCCACCGGGCCAACGTACTCGGCAAGCTCTGGAAACTTTGGTGGCGCTTTGGTCTCGCTGTCCGAGGCATCGCTCCACGCACGAAGAAAGCTGGAAATCTCCTGGGCAATGCTGCTGCTGTCCCGGCTTTGCCAGGCGAGCTTCTGGCACTTGATGTAGAGCTCCTGGATCGCTTGGTCCTTCCCAGCGAAATCTTTCAAGAGCTGGCACGACCAGTCATAGAGATGGAGCTTGAGCAAAGCCAATGCCTTTCGGTAGAGACTCTTGAGATGGTTGGGATCCATCTCGAGAGCGGCACTGGCAGCATTGATGCAAGCCTCAAATCGCCCCAGCTTGAGGTAGCACGCGGCTTGGTTGGCAAGCGCTAGCATTCGATCGCGGCTATCATCCTGTGAGGTGATGATCAAGCCATAGGCTTGAGCTGCGGCCTCAAAGCTCCCATCTTTAGTAAGCTTGTTCCCTTCCATCCGAATCGTGGAGTGGCTCATACCTCGAAATCTCTGGAGCTGATCGTCGCCAAGGAAAGAGAGCACCTCCACATTGGCCGGATTATCGAGCGCGATGAGCGAAAGAGTGCCGGGACCAGTTCCTGGATCATCGAGAAGCACCGCCAGATCAAGATTCACACTCAGATCGTCCAGAGGCCTCGCCAGCGTCGGCTCCTTGACCGCTACCCTCGCCCCCCTGGGAAATTTCGACCGGACCTCCACGTCCGTGGCACTGCTCGTCGCCGCATGCTTGATCGCGAGCAGCACCGATTCCCCGCTAGAATCCTCAAGCACCGTGAGTACCTGGACGCCGCCGTCGATCTTGAGCGCATCGGCAGCGAGAAATCCGTGAAGAACACGCCCGGTCGCGCGCGCTCCCGGCGCGAGATCGCCGATCCGGACAGGAGCTAGGGCGGAGATCGCCGCGGAGGGAATGCCGTGATCATCTTGTACCCGCTGGAGCAGCATCGAGACCAGGAATGTAGCCGGATCGAGGCACGCCACATCCTCCGCGAGGGATGGCGTCGCGTCGCTGATCACTGGCGCGCGGGCGAGGCGGAGGATCATCGCCTTGTGGAGCTTAATCTTACATTAATATATGAGACGTTGACCAGGTCAACATAGGTCAACATCATTTATTAATAAGGTTTAAGATGAAGCCGGGCAATTCAAATCTGTTGACCAATGCTGCCAGCAGACTAACAGTCCACGAGGGTCAACCTGGGTCTTCACAGTCAACAGCCTTTGGTAGTTATTCCCGAAGAGCGATTGCTGCCAGTCGGGCTCGTTATAATCGGCCTCGTTGAAATACGCCCACGAACCCGGTGTGAGATCCCTCAACTGGGCATTTGCGGCGGTCAACCGATCCATCCTCTCGCGGATCGACGCTCCAATCGCCGGCGAATCCAGCGAGCTGGGCGAGGATGAACTAGGCGAGCTCGACGAATTGGAACTGGAAGGGCTCGCGAACGAGGAGGAATCATCCCAGGAGCTCTCGGCGGTGATGTGCCACAACGCTTGCCTCCAAGCGGGATTCACCGCGACTGCGTCTCCAGCCCCCGCCACCGCCGCGCCGCCGCTCACCGCCACGCCCAGGATCGCGTTGCTCGTCGCGTTGGATTGCAGCAGCGTGACGAGCGCGTCGCTGATCTCGCCACCGGAGCTCTCGATCGCGCTGGCGGGGACGAGGCGGGAGATGAGCACTCGATTCGTGCCGAGATCGTCGTTGCAAATCCCCCTGGCGCTCGGGTAGAACGAGCACATCGTGTCGTTGTACCACTCCAGGAAGCTGGGATACGATCGCACGCCGCCGCCCACCGCGCGGACCGTGGCGTTGTGACGTGCGATCCACTCCAGGAACGATCCAAAGCTCTGGTCGTGGAACGCGGTGGTCTGGTTGAGCGCGTGGTAGCGGAGAGTCAGCGAGGTGCCGCCCATCACGAAGTAGCCCGCCCAGCCCTGGCGGTACAGCGCGGCGCTAAGCTGGGTAAACTGGCCTATCAGCTGGCGGTAGCTCCCCACGCCGCTGGCGGCAAGCACGTGTACCGCCGAGAGAATGTTGCTCGGCGCCGGGAACGTGCGATGTACCGCCGCGGTAACCACGCCGAAGGTGCCGCCGCCGCCGCCGCGTAGCGCCCAGAAAAGGTCCCGGTTAACGCACCGGTTGGCGTACCGCACGGTACCACCGGGCGTCACAATCGTGAACTGGAGCACGTTGTCGGCGGCGAGGCCGTACGCCGCGGGGCTGTGCCCACCGCCCTGTACGTAACCGCCGGCGGTAGCCACCGAGGAGCTAAGCGCGCCCACGACGAGCTTCCCTTGGGCGTGGGCGGCGGTGTAGAGCTCGCGCCACTGGACGCCAGCGCCCACCTCCACTGCCGAGGCGCCGCTGGAATGGGGATCGCAGCCCTCCTCGACGAATTCCTCGCTGAATTGGATGCTCTTGAGATTGTGCGTCCAAATGCTGAGCGATCCACGCGCGAAGCTCCGCCCGAGGTAGTCATGGCCCGTGCTCTTCACCACGATCCGCAAGAAATGCTGCCGGGCGAAGTGGATGGCGGCCTGGACCTGCGAGATGGAGGAGACGTTGACAGCGAGCACCTGGGAGCACGATGACGCCGAGGGCAGCGCGGTACCGTTGGGCGGGAGCGGGCAGCTCTGGGTGCCGTAGGCCTCCCAGTTTGGGTGCTCCACTTGGGTGGAGCGCCACGCACTGTCGTGCCAATTGGCCCGCGCGGTGGCGCACTGCGCGGTACCGTCGGCGTCATAGCAGGGTGACGCTGGTGGGCGGACCTGGATGAGCGCGCCGCCCACTGTGAGATTGAATCGCTCCCAGTGCTTGGCGTTTGGGAAGCACGATTGATCGGCAGTGCAGCGGCATCTAGTGGCGGCGATTGCAGCGGGCAAGAGGAGGAAGAGCGCGAGGAGGAGGGATTTGCGAGTAGATCGATCACACATTGCTTCGTTCCACGCAAGGATCATCTTCTTTCTTCCTTTCGGCTTGGATCTTTTTAAAGCGTTCTCCCGCGCCATGACATTAGAATGATCTATCGACCATTGACTAACGACATTGAACAATGTACAGTGGACTCGCTGACCATCGTTGACGAGTGACCATTGACTAACTAGTCAACGACATTGATCAAAGGGACCACAGTGGACTCGCTGACTAGCGTTGACTAGTAGGACTCCACGTAAATGTTGGAGAGTAGGACGTGGGAGGAGCCACACTCTTGTGGAGTTCGCTCAAGAACAAGCTCCTCGAGAACCCTCGCGCGATCAAAGTCGTGGTGGATCTTACACGCCCCCAGCAGCGTCGTCCACGCCAGTGGCTCCGGCTCGAATGGCATCGTCTCCACGAGCTCCTGCGCTTGATCCAGCCAGCCCGCGCGGCCGAGAAGATCCACCAGGCACACGAAGTGATCCATCTGGGGCGCGATCTCCCACTCGGCGGCCATGGACGTGAAGCACTCGTGGCCGCTGGAGACGAGGCCCGAGTGGGAGCACGCCACCAAGATGGTGATGAAAGTCACGTCGTCCGGCTCGGCACCGTCGAGCTCCATCCTCCTGTACATTTCCATGGCTTCCTCGGCGTGGCCGTGCTTCGCGAATCCCACTATCATCGCCGTCCAGGACACCAAGTTCTTATGCTCCATCCTGTGGAAGATCCGGCTCCCTTCGTCCAGGAAGCCACACTTGGCGTGTAAGTTCACGATCGCGTTCTCCACCACAATGTTCTTCCTCGTCATCGCCTCCAAGTTGGCGTTGGAGTGGAGATGGCGGAGGAGTTCCTTGGCCTGGTTTAAGTCTCCCAGGTTCGAGCACGCTGCTAGAACCGCGGCGATGGCTCCTTGATCCGGCTCCACTCTTTCCGTCTCCACCATTCTTTTGTAAAGATCGATGGCTTGCCTTTCGCGTCCAGCTTGAGTGTATGCCGTGAGGAGGATGTTCCAGCTGACCACCGTTCGGGAGCTTTCGTCCATGGACTCGAAGAACTTGCTCGCTTCCTCCAGGCTGCCACACTTTGCGTACATGTTGAGCAGTGAGTTCTGGACGAGCTCCGACTTTATCATCCCGGTCGCCACTGCTCGGCTGTGGATCTCTTTGCCGTCTTCAAGGTCGAAGCACGAGCCGAGAACAGCAGCCAGAGTGACGCTGTTTGGTTCTATCTCCCCGTCGCGAAGCATGCTCTTGTAGAGTCCCATGGCTTCGCGGTGATAGCCTTCCTGAGTGTAAGCTGCGATCATCGACGTCCAGGCGACCACGTCTCTGAGCTCCATGCTATCAAACACCCGACGAGCTTCTTCGGCCCTGTGGCACTTCGCGTACATGTTGACGACCGCGGTCTCCAAGTTTCTATCCGGAAGAAGACTCTCAGCTCTGGCTCGCTGGTGGATCGCCCGGCCGTGTTTCAAAGCTCCAACGTTGGCACACCACCCGAGCAAGCAAATCAAAGTCACTGCGTTGCCACGGACTCCTTGAAGCTCCATCTCCCGGAACAAATCCAGTGCCTCCGCAGCCTGGTCTTTCCCACCAAAGTGTGCGTAAGCTCCGAGAAGAGCGTTCCATGACATGATGTTCTTCTCTTCCATCCCGTCGAAAACTTTCCTGGCGTCCAGCAAGCCGGCACAGTTCCCATACATCGAGACGAGCGCAGTCCCGAGCGCTGGATCCCGCAGATCCAATGAAGTCACTCGGGAGTGAACTCTTCTGCCTTGATCGAGATCGCCCAGGACCGAGCAAGCACTGAGAACGCTTACGTAAGTCACGCTGTTTGGTTCCACGTCCATCTTGCTGTAAAGCTCCACAGCGTCTCTAGCTCTCCCGCTGTGAGTGTAAGCCGTGATCATCGACGTCCAAGTGATCACGTCCCTGCGCTCTATCCCATCGAAAACTTTTCTCGCCTGATCGATCCTCCCGCATCTCGAGTACATGGTGATGAGAGCGTTCCCGAGAGGACCATCCGGTTGGATCTTCAAAGCAGCAATCCTTGCGTGGATTCTTTCCCCGAGCTTGAGATCGCCCAAGCTGGAAATCGCTGTGAGGACTGCCACGAATGTGATCTTGTTGGGCTCTACATCCATTCTCTGATAGAGCTCCACTGCCTTGTGAAAATGCCCAGTCTGGGCATACGCTGTGAGCATCGCAGTCCAGGACACCACATTCTTGCGGGAGATCCCATCGAAAACTTTCTCGGCCTCTTGCAAGCTCCCACACCTGGCATACATCGTCACAAGGGCCGCCTCTAGAGAAAGATCCGATTCCCTCCTAGACGATCGGATTCGCGAGTGGACCGATCTTCCCTCGGCCAAGAGCTGCGAATTTCCACAGGCGCCCAGCACGCCCAGCAGCGTCACTCGATTCGGCTCCACGCCCTCGGAATCCATCCTCTGATAGAGATCTAGCGCCTCTCTTCCCTGTCCGGCCTGAGAATACCCCGAGACCATCGCATTCCACGACACCACGTCCTTCTTGGCCATGGAATCGAATGTGGATCGCGCTTCTTCCATGCTGCCGCACTGGCGATACATCTGGATGAGGAGATTTCCCAAGAACGTGTTGCCGCCATAGCCATGGCGGAGGAGATGGCGGTGGACGCGGCGGCCCTCCTCGATCGCCTTGGCGGCGCCGCAGCATTGGATGAGAGACGCGTAGAGTGATGATCCTCCCACCTGGATCGCTTCCAGGCGCTCCAATCCATCCTTGATGGAAAGAAGGGTTCTACGCATACAAAGGGGGAAAAAAGATTTTAGGGTTTATCAGTTTCTAGGGCAGGGAATGGGACGCCACAGCTCGGAGGACAGGCATCGATCGCGCAGGTACGACAACGAAGCGGAAGATAGAGCTAGGAAGTCCAGGAAATCGAGGCGCAGCGATTCCAGCGATGATTCCGAGCGCGAGGAGAGGAGGAGGAAGCGGAAATCCGTGAAGAGGAGAAAGAGAAGAGACGAGAGCTCTGGCTCGGAGATTGAATCCGATGGAGAAGATCGGAGGAAGAGGCATAGAAAATCGAGGCGCGACGAGAGCGATGCTTCTTCCAGCGATGATGAAGGGAGAAAGTTTACTGAGGAAGAACTTAACGAGTACCTTGTGAAGAAAGCTCAAAGAAAGGTACTACAATTTTTTTTTTCTTTCTTCTCTGCATGACTTTGATTTGTCATATGTCCAGGCGGCCAGGGTAGCGAAGAAGCTTAAAACGCAGACTGTGTCCGGCTATTCCAACGATAGCAATCCTTTTGGAGACTCCAACTTGACTGAGAAGTGAGTGAAGTTTATTCGGCATTTTCGGTTTGGAGTTGATTGTTTTTCGCGGTTTTGAGTTGATTTTTTTTCGCAGGTTTGTGTGGAGGAAAAAAATAGAACGTGATGTAGCAAATAAGAAGATGGACTTGAAAGATCTCTCCGTGAAAGCGGAGAAACTGCGCCAAAAAGAGCGGATGGTAAGATGATACGGTGTTACTCTCCTGGCTGCTACTAAAACGAACTCCTGTTTCTGCAGAGAGAAATCGAAAAGGTTAAGAAGAGACGAGAAGAAAGGGCTATAGAAAAGGCTCAACATGAAGAAGAAATGGCCATGCTAGCGAGAGAGCGAGCAAGAGCAGAGTTTCAGGACTGGGAGAAAAAGGAAGAAGAGGTTTGTTTTTTGATATCATTGTTTTAAAGTCAAATCTAACATTTTATTGTGGATTGCAGTTTCATTTTGATCAAAGCAAAGTGCGTGCTGAGATTCGCTTGAAGGAAGGCCGGGCAAAACCAATTGATGTTTTGTCCAGAAATCTAAATTCTCCCGACGAGTTTGATATTGCCATAACGGAGCCATATAAGATATTCAAGGTTTTTAATCTGTTTTTCGATTTTCGTCTTGCTCAACCATTCTTTGCTTTCAGGGACTTACCGTCAGAGAGATGGAAGATCTCCGTGACGATATTCGAATGCATCTGGAGCTAGACAGGACAACACAAACGCACATTGACTTTTGGGAGGCCATGATGGTTGTTTGCGACTGGGAGCTAGCAGAATCACTTAAAAAGGATGGAGTTGATAAAGCTAGAGTTCGTGGTGAAGAGCCCGGTCAAGAGCTGATGGCGGACGATTTTGGACTACACAAGAGCGTTGATCCGGACGTCAAGACTCTTCTTCATAACATGAGCTATCGCCAACTGGAAGAAGAACAAGTGAAGATTGAAGAGCAAATGCGGTCTGGATCAGCGAAGATTGTCGAGTTCTGGGAGTCCTTATTGAAGAGGTTGCAAATCTTCAAAGCCAAGGTACGCACAAAGTTCATTTCCTTCTCACAATTGCTAACGAAAATTACAGGCTCGCCTACGAGAAATATACTCGGATGTACTTCAGCAGCACTTGCAACGTATCGATGAATCCGAAATAAACAAGATTTCAAACGAAGATGAGGAGGAAGCGATGGTCACAGAAGAGCTAAACAGGTCTCCAACACCTGAGGTTGAGCCTGAAGTATACGACGACGACGATCCAGGGTCATTTTCTCCTCAACTGGTTCATGACTATGAAGCTGACGAGATTGTGGATCCCGAGACCGACAGAGCAGAACTTGTAAGCACTAAAACCTGTTTTTTTTTTTTTTTTTGGTTTCATTTCATGTGTGACTTGGATTCTTCCGTAGGAACGCAAGAGGGCTGAAGTTCTTGAGGAGCAACAAAAGAGGTTACAGGACGCCTCTGGTCCCAGCGAAGAGGAAAACATCGAGCACGAGAGGGCAATTGCCTTGAAGGCAATGGGAAATATGGAAGAAGGCGATGCCATACTTGGATCCGGGGCAGAGGTCAATCTGGAATCTCAGGTACGTAGAACTTCTGTTTTCGATATATTGATGCTAGGCTTCCGCCTTTGCAGGTTTACTGGTGGCACGATAAGTACCGCCCGAGAAAGCCCAAGTATTTTAACCGAGTCCACACGGGCTACGAGTGGAACAAATACAACCAGACGCATTATGACCACGACAATCCGCCGCCGAAGATCGTCCAGGGATACAAGTTTAACATTTTCTATCCCGACCTCGTTGACAAAACGAAGGCACCGACTTATGCGATCGAGAGAGATGGAAGCAGCGGGGAGACGTGCCTCATCAGATTTCACGCAGGCCCTCCATACGAAGATATTGTGAGTGATTTGTTCCTCGTTGTTTTCTTGTTTGTTTTTTGGTTTCCGTGTTGCTAAGATGGTGTGTGTGTGTTTGCAGGCTTTTCGCATTGTCAACAAGGAATGGGAGTATTCACACAAGAAAGGCTTCAAGTGTACATTCGAGCGAGGTATCCTTCATGTTTATTTCAACTTTAAGAGGTACCGCTACAGGAGGTGATGAGATCCTCGTGAGAAAGATGTGTAAGCAAACGCGCTATGCAAAACTTTTGACAGATCGCTCTCGCTGTACGTAAGAAAGCAAAAAATTGACATAAATGGAGTCAAGATCACAGGCTTGATGGATGTATTCCAAAAAAATGCGAAGCTTTTGAATGGAGCCAAGAAGTTGATGGGTATCACTTGCTTACACTTTCCTGCCACTGGAAAATGAAAATGCCCACCACTCTTTCATTCAAGTAGTCCGCTTTCTTTCCATTTTCTGGAAGGCAAGACCCACGCTCACTCGTTGCTCTTGCTTCGCTTGCTTGATGCTACAGTTTTGTTCCCTCCATTCACACTCGAAAATTTAAATTCCTTTCTTGGCGCGCGACCTTGGCTTTCGCTATGATCCATCAAAATCCAAGAGATTGCTTTCGCGCTACGCTCAGTCCCTTGTGTAGCTGATCTGGTAGTACCAGAGTAGAGTTATTAGTGGACAGAGAGTGGACACCCACAAGAGCAATCATGCCCAGCTTTAAATCTGGCCTTTATTCTTGCTTGCCAGTTAGTGTTGTTAGTTGTCTAACTAACACAAGATGATCGATCATCCATAAACCCCAAATGTGCGAAATTTATCTAGAGAAGAAACAATGTCTCGTTTATTGTGCATGCCCATGAGATCTAAATTAAAACCATATATGAGATTGTTGATTAATCTCTCCCATCAAGTTTATGCTATCATCTCATGTTTGACATTGACAAGGTTTTGCATGGAAGCATGTTTGTTACGCTTCGAATTGCACGAGGATCAAGAACACTTCAACCTCGCAGAACAGCAGAAAATGTTTAATATGTTCAAGCATCAACTGGTGCTTATATAAAAAATTTCTTAAAGAAAAAAGCCACACTCTCAACAAGAACAGCAGCTTTCTTGTTTAAAAAGTGATGAAAAAAACTCTCTCCAGGTACCCTCTCTGAAATGAAATAGACCAACACCAACAACTACACAACAAGCAGCAAATTCAGAAAAACAGGTTTGGAGTCAAAGTGAGAGCAGCCTTTTGTCAGTGCTGGCCTGAATTCTGAATCATCCTGTAGTGCCAATTGCACTAGAGAGGAGAGTCAACCAATCCAAGTGAGAGCAAGAAAAAACAAGAGAAAGAAATCATACATATACTTGAGAGCAGACAATGGTTGGATGCAACTTGGAAGGAGCCTCTTCTCTATTTTATCCTTCTTTTTACTGCTGCTGGGTTGTTGTAACTTGCAAGTATTGCCAGAACTTTTACCACTGGTTCTTCAGTTCAGTTCAGAAGTTACTGAGGAACCACTGCTTGATTGATGTTGGTGAAGTGCTGACTTTCTTCATCAATGATCCATTTAATGGATCTCTCCTGCTGTTGTCTGTTAGCTGCTTGAATTCATGAGCGATCCTTCCTGGATCTCTTGCACACTTACCTTGATCTTCGGGAAGTAGAATTTGATTACCCACGAAGACGATCGATCGAGATCATAGAGCAAGCGTCAAACCAGCCTATGCCAGAAGAGCTCCGTGAACACCTCCATGATCGTCGCATGGAACTCCGGCGGGTTGAGCGAGAGATAGCGCTGGAGGAGCTCCCGGAATTCGCTCATCTTCTCCAATCCATTCGCGGCGCTCATCTCCAGCATCGAGTCCTTGTAGTCTCGGTATGGATCCACCGAGAACTTGGCCACCGCCACCCCTCCCACTTTCTTCTCCGCTGGGATCTTCTCGTGAGCTAGAACACCGCAATCGCAATTGCCGCAAATGGAAGACGAAACCATCTTCTTTGGCTGCTCCTTCTCCTCCAGCTCCAGCTCGCCGATCTTTGACGAGCAATCGGGCGATGGGAAGTGCTTGTCACCGGCGCTCTGGACAGATCTGATGTAGTGATCGAGGGAGAAGAAGGAATCATCGAGAAAATGGCCACCAGAAGCCACCGGAGGGGCAATGAAGACATTCTTGGAAGTGGCCTCCAAGCGATCCACCAGGAACTCGGAGCTGAAGCGATCCTCGTCGAGGCATCTATCGTCGCCGCTGGCAAAGGAGAGCTCCTTGTCCCACGAGTAGTGATTCTGATCGTCGGCAGCCGAGGAGGAGGTGCTAAGGCGGTATCGCGAGGACGAGCAAGATCCCGAGTCGGCCTGATCACTCATCACTGGAGCCGTCTCCTCCCTCGCGAGCTTCTTCTTGCTCTTCTTCTTCAAGATCACCTTCTTGGTGACGAAATCGTCACCGACCTGCGTGACGATGTTCCAGGACTTCTCTTTCTCCCAAATTTCGTCGCTCTCGGCCTTGTTCTTAGCGCTCTTGGCCGAGATCTTCCTCTTGCCCTGGATTTGGAACTTGTAGCTGTCGACGACCATCCCGGCGGTGCTAACCGCGCAGGGATTGCAAGCCAGGAGGAGGAGCTGATCCAGCCCCGCCGATTTGCCGCAATGCTGCTTGTTGCCGATGAATGCCGGTCGCGATTTCTCGTATTTCGCCATGGAGAGCGGCTTGCTAGGCGGCGAGCTCCTGGAATTGGAGGAATCCCTCCTAGCCCTGTACCTAGATTTGAGATAACCGAGCGAGAAACACTTCCTTGTTAGCCGGAAAGCGCGCAATCGCTGCAAAGCCAGCCTTAGCCGCCTCATTGATTGCTACACGCCAAGCGCAACGAGACGATCAAAGCGAGCACAGCCAGTGTTCTAGCAAAGATTCTTCCGCAAATCCATCCTCCCTGAGCAAGCGAACACGCCGCGATCACAGACAAGGCGTCAGTGAGCGAGCCGCGCAGGGAAGGAAGAGCCCTAGCTACGCGCACACACAAAAAGAGACAGCTCTATAGCGTCGCAGAGACCGTATGCTATGGCCCAATGTGTACGGTGTGGTCCCCAAAAACCATTTGAATTCTCCCGCGCAACGTGCCGCCCTAAAAAAACGTGTGCGTGTCCGTGATACGAAGTGGCGATCATCTTCTCTTTTTGACTCTTTTGGCGCGTCGTGTGATCCAATTCAACTCCCTTGGATTTTTATTTCGGATAAATTAGATGGAGTGTTTCTTCGCAGAAGAATCTAGGCGATCATGGCGTTTAGATCCAAGAGCCCTAACCCTAGAATTCAATTGCGCGCTCCCGCCCTCTGCCGAGATCTTGCCACGTGTCGGGATCTGGTGATGAGCGCGCTGGTGAGCGCAAACATGCCGTGGACGCGCTTGAGCTTGCCGCTCCGGGCGAGCGATCGCAGCTGCCTGGCCAGCGATCGCCGGAATTTCTTGGGGAGATTGGGGCCATACTTGCGCTTGATTCGGTGGAGGATCGCGGCGCTGCTGATGCCGCGCTTGGATTCCAGAAGCGTCGCCAGGATCAGCATAGGGATTTTAGGGATTCTCTTCCTCTTCCTCCTCCTCTTGCGCTTCATTCCCTTCCAGATCACTCGCTTCCTTTGTAATTTCACCCTGGATCGTCCTCTAGAGCTCTCCTTTCTCCTCTTTCTTGCTCCATGGTACTCGATATAGATCCGGCGTCCACGCCTGCCATCGCCAGGCAAGGGAATCAAGCACGCATTTAGGGTTTGTCGGGAAGCTCCGGTCATCCTCGAAAGAGAGATTTGGAGGGAGAGGGATCCAGTGACATGGCATTGGATTAGGGTTTGGGGCTCTTCGATCTCCGGCAATCGATCGGCCGCGCCACGAGTTCCAGCCAGCAGCGATGATCATGGGCAGTGCACAAGAGTTTCGAGTGTGGGGTAGCATGGGACCGCCGGATGGAACTGTTTGTGGGGTCATAGATCTCTGTGGACATATGCTGGTATACTGTCGCTATCTGCAATGCGCGACGACTAATAGGTGGAGCGCAACTACGCTCCCGAGAGATTGTTGTGGCAGCTTTCTGATCACTCCCGGAGGCCTGTCATGGGCGATTGAAATTCGGGCTTGGGTTCGTGGTTTCTGGGGCGATCAGGGATGAAAGGGCCCGACGCCACAGCTAGAGGCGGACAGAGTGAGCACCACGATGATGCCTCCAAGCAATTGGTACCATTCTACAAGCTCTTCGCATTTGCCGATAGGCTGGACTACCTTCTCATGTTTCTGGGAACCGTGGGAGCGATTGGAAATGGTCTCGCGATGCCCTTCATGACTCTCATCCTGGGCCAAGTCACGAATGCGTTTGGAAACAATTTTGGCGACCCGGGGAAGCTCTTTGATGCTGTCTCTCAGGTATGGGATTCATCTGTTTTTTTCTTGTTCGTTTGATTTCTTTTTGCTGACTATGACGAACAGGTCGCCGTGAGATTCCTCTATCTTGGCGCTGGCGCAGCAGTTTTATCATTTTGTGGTATGGATGGATTGTTTCCTCCGAAGAGGTCTCACTGTTTTTATATCCATACAGAGGTTGCTTTCTGGATTTGCACCGGTGAAAGGCAAGCCACTCGCATCAGGAGTCTCTATCTGCAAGCAACTTTACGTCAAGATGTTTCGTTTTTTGATAAAGAAACGAATACCGGGGAGGTGATCGAGCGTATGTCGGGGGACACTGTTTTGATCCAAGATGCCATTGGAGAGAAGGTTTGGATCTTTTTCATTCTTTTGGAAGTTGGTCATTGTTTTTTTCTTGCGCAGGTAGGAAGGTTCTTACGGTTTGTAACAACGTTCGTCGGTGGATTTGCTCTGGCCTTTATCAAGGGCTGGAAACTTACACTCGTGATGATGTCGACTTTGCCTCTGCTGGTTGCTGCAGGAGCTACACTCGCTATACTTGTTTCGAAAATGGCTGGAAGGGGTCAGGTTGCGTACGCTAGAGCCGGAAATATAGTAGAACAAGTTGTCAGTGGCATCAGAACGGTATGGTTTGGATTTTTTTGCACTGTAATCACATTTCTCCTAACAATCTGAAGCTTCTATCAGGTTGCATCTTTCACAGGAGAGATTAAGGCTGTGGAGGACTACAACAGTGCCTTGAAAGATGCATATAATGCCACCATTTTTCAGGGTCTAGTCTCTGGATTGGGGATGGGATTTGCTCTGTTCACGTTCTTCAACAGCTATGCTCTGGCGTTATGGTATGGCTCAAGGCTAATTATCAATGAGGGGTATAGCGGGGGTACAGTTCTGAATATAATCATTGTCGTTCTTCTAGGAGCAATGTAAGTGTTTGATATGCTTTCAAGCTTTGGCGTTAACTTTTTATTCCTTTTGTGCAGGTCTTTGGGTCAGGCTTCACCTTGTATCGGGGCGTTTGCCGCCGGTCGAGCTGCTGCATATAAAATGTTTCAGGTTATCAACCGGACACCACAGATTGACTCTTTCGATACGAGTGGGATTACGCCCGGAACACTCAAAGGAGATATCGAGTTTCAAGACGTAGATTTTGCTTATCCAGCCAGACCAGAGGTTCAGATATTCAAAAAGTTTTGCCTTAAGGTACCTGCTGGAACAACGGCTGCTTTGGTGGGGGAAAGTGGAAGTGGAAAGTCTACTGTTATAAGCTTGCTGGAGAGGTTTTATGATCCAAGCGGAGGTCAAATTCTTCTCGATGGTTACGACGTGAGAGCGCTACAAATTCAGTGGCTGAGACGTCAGATTGGGCTTGTGAGCCAGGAGCCTGTTCTATTCGGTGCATCTATAAGAACAAATATCGCTTATGGAAAAGATGGTGCAACGAACGAAGAGATATTACTTGCGGCCCAGCTCTCTAATGCTTCGAAATTCATCAACAAGATGCCAGAAGTAAGTTTTGATAAATCGTTTTCTTTCCTGAGTAACTCTAGTAATTCTCACAGGGATTCGACACACAAGTTGGAGAGCAGGGGACGCAGTTATCTGGAGGACAGAAACAGCGAATCGCTATTGCTAGAGCTATTATAAAGAATCCTCGTGTTTTACTACTTGATGAAGCAACGAGCGCCTTGGATGCTGAATCCGAACACGTAGTTCAAGAAGCTCTTGACCGGTTCATGGTCGACCGCACAACAGTTGTAGTTGCTCATCGTCTCTCTACGGTAAAGAATGCGTCTCTCATATCTGTGGTACAAGATGGAGCCATTATCGAGTCAGGTACGTATCCCGAGTCTTCTGCGCCAGTGTCTTAAGATGACTATCTTTTCCAGGTACACATGTTGAGCTGCTTAAAAATCCCGACGGTGCATACTCTCAACTTATCCGACTTCAAGAAGTGCACGAAGAAAGTGCTCCAGCAGTCGATCCCGATCAGGTAGCAGCTCCAAATGAACGGGCTCTGAGTAGAAGCGGCAGCAAAAATTCTTCGGGACGGTGGTCGGGACGATGGTCTTTTGGCAGTAGAAGGAGCCGCACGTCATTCTCGATCAGGAGATCGGGCGGGGCCGCCCCCGAGATGGAGTTTGTGGAGCTCGAGCCCAGACGAAAGCGTTTCTTATTTTGCTTTCGCTCTGAGACGAGCGAGGACGTTGAAGCGGGCAGGGACGCGGACCCCAAGGATGTCTCTATATTTCGAGTTGCAGCTCTAAACAGGCCAGAACTTCCGATACTTATTTTCGGATCAGTGGCCGCAGTCGCTCACGGAATAATTTTTCCAGCCTACAGTCTGTTACTATCGAGTATGCTGGCCACGTTCTTCGAGCTCGACAAACACAAAGTCCGAACCGAGTCAAACTTCTGGGCGCTGATGTTCGTCGTGATGGCTGCTGGCAGCATCGTCGTTTGTCCTTCTAACTTGTTCTCATTTTCAATAGCGGGTAGCAGGCTGGTTAATCGTATCAGGCAAATAACTTTTTCGAATATCATCCGACAGGAAGTCTCGTGGTTTGATACACCGGAGAACTCAAGGTACATTTCATCTTTAAGTCTCCAATCCAGCTTAACTTTCGCGTTGATCAGCGGTGCCATCGGTGCCCGGCTTTCGTCGGATGCTGCTAGTGTTCGAGGAATGGTAGGAGACTCTTTGTCCTTGGCCGTGCAAAATGGATCAACCGTTGTTGCGGGGCTTGTAATTGCATTCACTGCAGACTGGCAGCTAGCTCTTCTCGTCCTGGCAATGGTGCCTGTTCTGAGCATTGTCGGCCTTCTCCAAGTCAGGTTGATGACGGGCTTTAGCGCTGACGCCAAGGTAGACATTTCCTGCTTCTATCTTGTTTAATCTGTGAGCGTTTTCTTTTAGACCACGTACCAAGAAGCGAGCCGAATTGCAACGAGCGCAGTGAGCAACATTCGCACCGTTGCATCGTTTTGTGCGGAGAAGAAGATGCTGGAACTGTACAAGCAATCGTGCAAGAAGCCTCTGGCCAATACTGTTCGCATTGGATATATCAGTGGTGCTGGTCTTGCCATCTCCACTCTCGTGCAGTTCGGTTCGCAAGCTCTCATCTTCTGGTATGGTGCCCGCCTCGTCCGCCAGGGAAAGACAGAATTTAAGAACGTTTTTAAGGTCCTTGGAAGTTTTCACCTTTTCGTTTTCTTCTTGGTGCTCATGATATTCTTTCCACTGACAGGTGTTCTTTGCTATCATCTTCACTGCTCTTAGTGTCTCCCAGACACTGGGACTAGCTCCAGATCTTTCAAAGGTGAAAGCTTCCGTCGCTTCGATCTTCGCTACCATCGATAAGAAGTCCAAGATCGACGCAGCAGACCCTTCAGGAAGAGAGTTAGAAGATCTCAAGGGCCATATTGACTTTCGGCACGTTAGCTTCCGGTATCCTACCAGGTCTCACGTACCGATTTTCCACGACCTGAGCTTCTCCGTTCGAGCAGGGAAGGTAGTGTTTTCCTCTCTCTCTCTTTTTGTTTTCTTACTTCGAGTTTCTTGCCTCAGACATTGGCTCTAGTCGGAGAAAGTGGCTGTGGGAAATCAACAGTGATTTATCTCCTAGAGCGATTCTACGATCCCGATGGAGGCCACATCTTGGTAGACGGCGTCGACATCCGAAAGCTCCAGCTCCGATGGCTTCGCCAACAAATCGGTCTTGTCAGCCAAGAGCCGATTCTCTTCACCGGAACCATCCGCTCAAACATCTCGTATGGAAAGGACGGCACTGTGACTGACGAGGAGGTAGTGAACGCTGCGGTGGCCTCCAACGCTCACGAGTTCATCACGAGCCTCCCAGACGGCTACAGCACACAGGTTGGCGAGCGAGGAATCCAACTCTCGGGTGGACAGAAGCAGCGGATCGCCATCGCCAGGGCTATCATCAAGCAGCCCAAGATCTTGCTGCTGGACGAAGCCACCAGCGCTCTCGATGCCGAGTCGGAGCACGTCGTCCAGGCGGCGCTCGACCGGATCATGGTGGACAGAACAACCATCGTCGTCGCGCACAGGCTCACGACGATCGTCAATGCGGACATGATCGCGGTGGTGAAGAATGGATCGATCGTCGAGAAAGGGAAGCACTCGGACTTGGTGCACGTCGAGGGAGGAGCTTACGCCTCGCTCGTCAAGCTCCATGCCGCGGCTTAGACATCCCACGGCTATTATTTAAACTATGAATCCAACGGTAGAGTTTTGTTGGTTTAATCTGTCGGTGGTGAGAAATGAATGAATCTGACGGCTCTTATTAAACTATGAATCCAACGGTAGGGATTTTCTATTTTCAGGTGACTATGGATTGACGGCTATGATTTGTTCTGGGCGGTCTTTTTGGCGCGACGCTATAGAGTCCAGACTATTCGGAAAAGAACAAATATCCGGCCATGCGGCGCAATGGAATAGTGCCACGTCGGAAGGTATCCACGTGTCACGCAAATGCTGGGCAGACACGTGGTCGGACGAGAATATCCCGCACCGCGAACCAAGGCGTGATGCCACCTCTCTTTGTCCCGAGGAAGTATTTTGTTTCGATGCTAGGGCAGCGTTCAGATCGTCGACACGCTCACGGAATCTCTTCTTCCTGCTTGGAAAATTTCGATCCAGCGATTCTTCCATCCATCGATCCACCGCCAGGTTTTCGTGTTCTTGCGATCGAGGAGCGCGGTCATGCCAGGATAATGCAGCCACGCAATCCCGATCTTCATCGATTGAGCAGCGCTTTTCTCCTCGCCAGGGCTTAGGGTTCTTGAGCTAGCTTCTCCTTCTCTCCCTCACGCGTCAAATGCAAGGCGCTACAAAGATCGCATTGGCAGCTGCGCTTGGAAATCTTCTCCAGGGTTGGGACAATGGCGCCATCGCCGGTGAGTGATCAAACATTCAAGCCAGCTTTATGTATGGCATCCATTTTTCTCTCTCTCATTTCGGCATAGCTTCCTTTAGAACCATCATTTCATGTTTTCTTTGCGATTTTGCTTTCTCGAATGTTTTATTCTTGTCACTAACGTGTATCTCTTGATCTTGCTAGCTTTCTGTTTCCATTTCTCATGTCCTTCTTTGCGATTTTCTCGATTGATTTCTTCTTGTCACTAACGTCTTGATCTTAGGTGCACTGCTTTATATCAAGCCAGAGTTCCATTTGGAAGACAAGCCCACTATTGAAGGCTTCGTTGTGGCTTCCACGCTCCTTGGAGCTGTATGTAGCACAGTCTGTGCTGGTCCAGGGGCGGACTGGCTTGGAAGGAAGCTGATGCTCATCTTATCTTCGGCACTTTTCTCAGTAAGCTCGTGCGCTATGCTCTGGTCGCCAAGCGTCTACGCGCTCATCGCCAGCCGGTTTCTCGTGGGGACTGGCATTGGACTGGTCGTGACCATCGTCCCGATTTACATCGCTGAGACGGCTCCGTCGGAGATCCGAGGGCAGTTGGCAACTTTTCCACAGCTCCTGGGATCTGGCGGGCTGTTCGTCGTGTACATTATGGTGTTCTTCCTGTCGCTAACGGCGGATCCCAGCTGGAGAATGATGCTGGGAGTTTTGCTCATCCCAGCTCTTCTGTACCTGGCGCTGGTGATATTTTACTTGCCCGAATCGCCAAGGTGGCTCGTAAGCAAAGGCCGGATGCTGGAGGCTAAGTATGTTCTACAGCGGCTACGCGACAGAGACGACGTTTCAGGCAAGTATTTGCTTGTTGACTTTTTTTTTGTCTTGTGACTGATCCTTTGTTTGACAGCGGAGCTCGCTCTTCTTGTCGAGGGTCTCGGTGTCGGTGGTGAGGCATCACTCGAGGAGTGGCTACTCAAACCCGCACCGGAAGACGTGCTCGAAAACGGTGTCCCGCAAAAACACGAGTCTCAAATCAAGCTTTACTCACCCGAGGAAGGTATCGCGTGGATTGCCACCCCAGTCGTAGAAGAACCGGCTGGCCACTCGCTTGTGCCAACCTTCCCCAGCTTTAGCATGAAGAGCGTCCATCTCATGGATCCTCTTGTGCAACTTATCGGAAGTGTACAGCAGACTCAGGAACACCACCAAGCCGTTGAAGGACTCGAGCGTGATTATCCCGAGGAGCCACATTTCAAGGAAGAGGAGGACAAGCCACGCGATAATGGCTACGAGTCAGACATGGAAGAAGGGATGGTGGGAAATCTCGACGAGTCGAACCTCGAAGCGCCGCTACTTCACAAGCGGTCTGGCGTGTCAAGCAGGGACAACTCGGGAGCCTTTGAGGACGTGGAACAGGGACATGAAACAGTGCCGGAAAGACGAGGAAGTAGAAGCAATCTGGTTTCTCGTGGCAGTATGCACCATGGAAGCATGCCGGAGTCTCTTGGAAGTGTGGGAATCGGAGGTGGATGGCAACTGGCCTGGCAATGGTCTGAGCCCGAGCAGGGAACGGGGCATACAGAGGAAGGCGGCTTCAAAAGAGTTTTCTTGCTGCAGGAGGCAGTGGACGCGTCTGGCCGAATTGTTGGATCTACGGCATCGTTACCAGGAATTGCCGAAGGGGACTCTATTCCAGCAGCAGCCATAGTTGGACACCCAGCGCAGTCGATGAGGGATATCATCGGTGAGGCTCCAGTTGGCCCTGCCATGCTGCATCCTACGCAGACAGCTACGAGCGGGCCTGCGTGGTCGGACATATTTGTTGGCGGCGTCAAAAGAGCTCTTATCGTTGGCTTGAGCTTGCAAGTCTTACAGCAGGTATGATTTTTTTCTTTCTTAAGTTTCGTCCTTGATGTATCCGAGCTTTTACTTCTCGTTGTTTGCAGTTTAGTGGCATCAACGCTGTGCTCTACTTCATTCCACAGATTCTCCAGCAATCTGGACTAGCTGTTTTACTCTCGGACGCTGGTATCAACGCGAACTCGGCGTCTATACTAGGAAGTGCCACCACGTCCTTGCTCATGCTTCCATGCATTGTGTTGGCCATGCGCTTGATGGACCATTCTGGCCGTCGGTGAGTAGATGCTTTCGCTAGCACGAGGCTTTTGAGATTTGACGCTTTGGTTTAACAGGCAGTTGCTGCTTTCAACGCTTCCGGTGTTGTTGCTGGCACTGGTGGCCGTGACATTCTCAAACAACTACCTCCGTGCTGGGCTCGTTCAGGCAGTCATTTCCTTCCTCAGCGTGACGCTCTACGCTTGCTCGTTCGTGATGGGATTTGGGCCGATCCCAAACATCCTTTGCTCGGAGATATTTCCAACAAGGGTCCGTGGCCTCTGCATAGCAATGTGCCAGGCCACATTCTGGGTGTGCAACATCATCGTCACGTACCTCTTCCCGATTCTCCTCGTCCGACTCGGCCTGGGAGGAGTCTTCAGCCTGTTCGCATTGGTTTGTCTCGTGTCGTGGATTTTCATCTTCCTCAAGGTCCCGGAAACGAAAGGGCTGCCTTTGGAAGTCATCTCGGAGTTCTTCGCTATGACCGATCGCCTCGAAGCCAAGAAATCGTCAACTTAAGCGCAGGTAACTTGCACTGGAGAGTTTTCGGTTTTAACTTGTGCATAGTTTATCCAGGAAAGATGGAAACACATCTTTTTCACTCGAGTTTAGGGAGTTTACGTATGTTCGTACATATAGTAACGAAATAAGAAAACGATGATTGATTCTTGATTTATAGTCTGGTCTGGGTAAGTCAATCCTCTTCTTCCTGACATTAATCACAGGCAGGTGGGAGCTCTATCCATGCGATCTCTCTGTGCAGCAAAACTCGCTTTCTTGTGAGAGAAGGCTTTTGTACTTTGGCAAAGAAAAAGGTACCAAGCTTTCAAAAGCAAAAGAGAGTTTGTTGGTTTTTAACATGGAGCTGCTGTTTTCGTGCAGGATTGTCGCTATGGAGTAGTAACTTTCAAGCCAGGAAGCCAGGGAGGTGAGAACTTTGCTTTTTCTCTTGTTGTTCTACAAACTTAGCAACTTAATTTCGCAGCTAGGAGAAGACGACGCGGAAGATGCGAAATAAGGAGAGATTGCTGGTAATATATCTCTCCCTGCTCTAGTCTGCGATTCTGCTGTCCTTGGTTCTTCATTACGCGCCGTTACAGCTTTTATTTTTGGTTCTTCACCTCTTGCGAAGAAATTCAGTTCCTTCTTTTGTTACAGAAATTCATTGCGCCTCGCTCACCCACCGAGCACACAAGGCGAAGCGACTCGCGAACGACTCAATCCCACATGACGATGGTGGAAGGACGCATGGGATGAATTTGTCATGGACAGCATCAGCTTGAGAAGCCACATCCTCGTCGAGCAGTCGGGCCTTGCAAGGATCCCAGGTTCGCTCTTCTTAAGTTCCATTCATTTTTTTTGCGAGTTCTTTAGATAGCTCCTTTTTTTTTCTCGCACAGGGAGTCTCGAGTCCCGAGATGAGCCTCGAGCGTCACAGTCCTGTCGGATTTGCCTGATGGGCGTGGAGCAGGAGTGGATCCAAATGGACTGCGCTTGCAAAGGTGAGCTTGCCATTGCTCATGTCGACTGCGCGGTGCGGTGGTTTAGCATCCGAGGGAACTCCTCGTGTGACGTTTGCGGCGAGGCCATCGGCAATCTCCCCGCCCTCTCCCCGCGCAAGCCCTGCTACCAGCAGCAAGATCAAAGCTATCCCGTGGTGCTCGACCAAGACGATGACGACTACTATGATCCCATAGACAGGTATGCTCTAGCGGGCGATCCATCGATCGATCGTCTTGCTAACACAAGTGGCCTCTCCTTGGGCAGCTCTTGCAGTAAGATCGCAGTGCTGGTTGCGAGCTCCACCATCGGATTCTTCAGGCAAAAGCTCCGAGCCTTGGCAGAGTTCCCGTAGGGGCCATTGAATGCGCATGAAACTGGTTTTTTTAAATGCGACGGTAGGATTTGCGACACGTGTTCTCCTGGATGGAGCCAGCTGTCTGCGAACGTGGCGACACGTGTACGCTTGAGTGGGCCAGCTGTCTGCGAAAGGGGGTCAGGAATTCGACACGTGTGAGGCCAGCAGTGCGACGCGTGTTTGCTTGAATGGATCCAGTCAATCTCAGTCAGTTTAAAGTAGTCGAACTTTATAGAATTGCGAGTTTCATGTTTATAGTCAACGCAAAAAAAATCATACAGAACATTGCGAGAACGGAAACAACCAAAGAGAACGCTGGATTCTCGCGATGATCATCCCGGGTACTTTTCCTTGCCGGGCGATAGCCTCCCATTCTCGAGCCTGGCAACCAGCTGGTCTACATCCACACCAGTATCATCCTCGTCCTCCTCCTCGTCTCCACCTCCTCCTTGCTCGGCCCCCCCGACGCTCTCCTCCTCGATCTTCCCCAGGAGTATTTGCTCCCAGAAGAAATCACTCGACAAGAGGCTGCTCTCATCGATCTCCCCTGCCGGATCCACCTCAAAAGCCATGCTACCACTATCATCACCCAAGCTGGAATCCGGAGCACCAAAAACTCCACTGCCGCTCGAGCCGATCCTCTCGAGTCCTGGATCCCTCCTACCACCGCCACCGCCACCTTTCGCCTTGGCGGCGGGGATCATTCCGTCAATCACCCCTGAGATCATCCCGTCAATCACCCGGTGGCCACCGAGATCATCCTCCGCGGCCTCCAAGCCATCAACAGACGAGGGAAACAAGTCAATCACCATATTGGAGCCCGAAGTACCCGACGATGACGACGAGCTAGTGCCACTAGACTCTCTAACGCTAGCCATGAGCAAGTTTGGATACTTCACCATAGATCCCCGGGGAGTTCTCCGCTTCTTCTTCACCTTGGAACTCGAGGCGAGCTCCTGCTGCTGCTGCTTGTGCTGCTGCTGCTGCTCCTGCGCGCCTAGGATCTGCTCGGCCTGCTCTTGCTGCTGGAGGAGCTGCGAGAGGAAGGCCGGGTTTTGCATCGCCTTGGCCAGGAAGGACATCATCTGCTGCTGCCGCTGCTCCGTCACCTGGAGGCGCTGCATCATTTGCTGCATGCCGCGCTGCGTGAGGATTTGCTGCTGCCGCATCCGGACCAGCTCCACCATGAGCATGTTTCGATCGCGGCGCAGCCGCTCCACCTCGCCCTCGACGCCTCCAAACTGGCCAACTTCCACGCACGGCTGCTGTTCGGCCACCACGGTGCTGATACTGGGCGACGATCTCGGGCTGCCGCTGCTCGTTCCGCCGACGTTTCGGCGGCGGTGGATGTTCTTGAGTAGAGACTTCTGGCCCCGGAGAAAGTCCTCGTTTGCGAATTCCCATCGGTCGGGATCGACCTTCTTGAACCCCTGGAACGTGAAGAAGTACGAGGTAAGAATCAAAGCAAGCAAAACAAAACGATGGCTATGACTAAAGACGGAAGAAAACAAATGAGAAGCTTTCACTCTAGGTACTGTCTGACATAGAAGACCATTCTAGAAAGATGAGGATCTAGCAAAGAGAGAAAGAAAATCCAAGAACAAGAGCTACAAGACGAAGAGAAGACAATGTCCTAGCAAGCAAAGCAAGAATGCAGGTACTATGGCATTGGAGAGAAAATTTCCCAATGGGATCGCCCACACCAAAGACTTACATATGTGTTGAGCTGCCTCACAAAGCTCGAGTAATTGCTGTGCTTGAAGTACCTGGGAAGGAGATCGCGGGAGAACTCGGGCGGATTCCACACCACGAAGCTGTTGTTGGTCGCGCTCCACGAGATTATCCCATTCGTGGCTGGATCGTCCACCATGTCGTATGTCTTCGTGAGAAATGGAGGCGGCGCATTGCCCTGGAGCGCTTCCAGCGGCTGCGGCGAAGCGGCGCTCCTCAAGCCGGATTCCTGCATTCCCTCACTCCACGCCGGCGAATCCATTCCAACAGATCATCCGCGCGACGATCGCTGGCGATTGATACCTGCGCGACGATGTCCCAGACCCTAGAAAAATTTCCCTCCTCCCCGGGAGAGGCGGAGCCATTATATACCTATGCGAGCTATGGCGATTCATGTTGCATAGGAAGTCTCTAGAATATTCTCGCACCCGCTAGAGCCCTAAGACAGTCGCCGGCCAGCTGGATGCAAATATCTCCCGACCGCGATACGTGGAAATATCTTGGCGGCACAGTTGCGCACGTGTCAAGATCTCAAACGTCCGTTACAGAAAAAACCTAGCACAATAGCGGTATACATGCTTTTGGATGCCAATGGGCGGGTAGCACGGGAGGGAAGATATGGGAGTGACAGGTCTATGCATGCAAGTCTCCATTGATCGGCTCGCGCCATGACAGAGCTCAGCCGCCGGGTACGCAAGGTGTCTCTGTGTCTTGCAAACCATGGCTAAACTCAAGCAGCAAAAGAGCGTGTTTCCAGCAGCAGTGGAGGATCAGTAAGAACACACTTGGATCGCTTGGGTGGCAGGGATATACTTTAGGGGAGAAACTAAAATCTTTGATGGACGGGTTGACCCATCCATTCTATGGACTAAAGTGGACTAAAGTGAAAGGAGAAAGTCAGAGAAAGAACGCATGAAGTTGAATGGGCATAATTATTTCAATGCAGTAAGAGTTTGAATGCTGAGTTACCCAGTGACTTCTAAGGTCGTCGTGAGATGTCTATGGGTTTTCGACGTTCCAGAATGCATCGCTTTGCGGTGAGGATGCCAGCTTTGGAGCTGGCAGCCATGTCTGAAGCCATGGCAATGTAATTTTGCGATTCAAGAATATTTTATTCAATGGAGTGTGAAAAAAGTTCCAAAGTGACTTCTAAAATCGTTTCGTTTCGTTTCATTCTAGGTGGATTTTTCTTTTTTTTAATGTTAGAAAAACACTGCTACAGGACTCTTCTGTCCAGTTTGTTGTCAAGCCCCTGTCAAGCGTGGTCAAGGGACGCAATCCTTTTACTTTGGCTTTTCTGAGACTGATGTTAAGTAGCATGGCCCGCAATCAGAAGGACATCGTGCAAAACCGCTGCCTTCGTCGGGTGTTGTTTTCTTTTGTGCTCTACTGGCCGGTCTGTAAATCTCACGAAAACACAAACCAGTCGAGTTGATCATAACAACAGGAATGATGGTGATCCTCAAGTTGGAGGTGGAATGTAGGAGATGTCTTAGCTTGAAGCAGATGGTGTTAGAGTTTCATTTGAAGTTGGCAACGGTGTGGTTCAAGGATGGCCAGCAGCTCTTGGTGGAGGTGTGTTGTATTCACCAAGTCAAATGTGTTCTTTTGTGTTGAAGTAGAATTGGGAAGTCGAGGAGTGGTTCTGCAGCTCGCTGTTGGTTGTAAGCTATGCAATCTTGGACAAATTCGACAGTTTTGATCGCTTGAGCGCATAAGTAGCAAATTCGTCCCTCCCAAAGCACTTTGCATATGTCCCAAGTGCCAAGCTCAGAGTGAAGATGGTGGTAGCCTGTTCTGTATTGTGCCAAAATTCTGCGATGTTTCCGTCCCATGGGTCAATAGTAATTGTCCGATCCTTGTTGACTGTGGTGGAACTTTTGATCTTGATCCGCACCTTGGAGCCACCATTCAAATGCTCATTCAAGCCAGTGTGCTGGGACATAGGCAATGTTTCATCAAGCAGAGTGTCAAGATCCATTCCACGATATGTTGTTCACAAGCAAAGTTTTTGCCACTACCCTTGTCCAGTTGTGTCTGCAAGGTCAATGGTAGCATAATTCTCTCGCATAATTCTTTGGCGCATCAGGTTCAGAAGGTATTGTATTGTGTTCATCTAGATCGGGAGCATACCAGATTCCAGATCATGATCGCAATGGCACCTTGTTGCAACCAAAAGATTTAGTTGCTCCATTTTCTTCCATACAGTTTGTCACGTGAACCTTTAGTTGAGGGAATTATATCTCAATTGCAAAAGAATATTTGCAACCCTAGACCAAGTCATGAGCTACCTCATAAATGCTACCTCCCTCATCAACCAGGAATCCTGTCTGACTCAACAAAAGACTTGTTTTCATTAATTCGTTCATTACAAGGTACCAATGAGACCCACGGATTATAGTAAGCTGTTTTGATGATCTGGTGAGCTGTTTTGCCACTTGCTGGTGCTCACCAAGCTCTTCATTGGTGCTGACATGTTTGTTCTTTCTCTTAAATAACGTTGTTCCTACAGATTGACGTTGCTGACTGCATGAGCAGTGCATGCAAGCTGGTGCTGCTGGCATCATGGCTACTAGAAGAAATAGTGTGTAGTGGTAGCAAGACATGATACTCCAATACTCTCACCAGTTGAGCAAAGGTGTATCACATTCTCCTTAAGAGCAGCATTGTTCCACAAAATATCAAAAGTCATCATTTGAAACTCAAATGCATAAGCCGATGCAATTTTAAAGCTTTGGCACAATGCCCTGCTCCAGAATATTCGACCACCCGCCTAAAGAATATCACTCTAATATTCTGTCCTACATTTGCGGGCCAGCGGACGGCTCCCGAGCGCGGTACGTGGACATATCTTGGCGGCATGGTTTCTTACAATTGGCTAGCACAAATAGTAGGTTAGCTATATAGAGTATATGATTGTTAAGCACAAAATACAAATAACCAAAAGAGAAAACGCTAGAACGCTAGAAGAAGAGTTGGCTCCACACGGAGCTTTTGAGATTGGAGTAGAGGTTGTAGAGGGAGTACTGCTGGAGCTTGGCGACTTGGTACCAGGTGTTTAGAACAACGTTGTTCTTGTCAGTCCCAGAGAAGGTGACAGTGATCCCAATGCTGCAATCCACTCGGCCGCCGCGATGCCTGCAATGCGAGAGACGAACGGCGCAGTCGCCGCTCTTGAGGCACACGAAATCGTCGCGGCCGTCGGAGCACGACTTGCAATCGTTGCCCTTCCAGAGCATGTTGATCAATCGGCCCTTGCGGAACTCGAGCACCTGGAAGAACGGGGAAAGAGGGGCGCGAGATGTTTATAAAGATCCTGTGTGATCTTGAAAGAGAAG